ATTTATTTTACCGTTAGATAAACATCATACTGACTGACGTTGTACTGATGAATCCCTACTAAAAAATAAAACGATATCTCCTTCCAAAAAATAGAAAAGCAAAATACTTTTCAGTTGAGAAGGCAGTAGTTACTGTACATTCAAAACGTGAAGTCCTCAAAGAGCTGAAGGCCAGGAAAAGCATCACCATCACAAACATGAAGTCATCAACACTCAAGTATTTCTGCCTCCTTTCTGTTAATCCCTCTTATCTTGTATGGAGAATTGGTGTTTTGGTTTTCAGGTTGCTGGGAGTTTTCCGTGCAGAGCAACGCTTCTTCCGTCCCAGAGGGTGACCCAGAAAAAAGGGGCAGTAACAGCGGCACGGTGCGCCCAGATACAATTAGACTCCTTATTGTATCCTGGAGATGAGAAAACCGCCTTGGCACCCTTTGGAGACATTTAATCGCGTCCACATGGAGATACACCAGACCACTTCAAAATGTCCACCCCATTCATGCACTCAACGCCAGTATTTAGGTATCTGGCCCACTCACCACTTCTCACAGGTACGGGTTTCACAGCTAAAGGCCTGTTTTTCATCCCCGGTTTGAGGTATGAGTGGTAAACATTAATAATGATTAACAATATTTATGGCCTTTAATACCTTTGCCTTTCTCTCCTGCCTTGGTTGCAGGACCGTCGGGGCGCCTGGACCCCCCAGCAGAGTGCTGCTCTAAAGGAGAACGCTGCTTTATGTCACGGTGCGCACTGACTGTCTTATCTACCCATTTATCACAGTTGAATTGCAACCAGCCTTGCCTGAAACCTGCTTTCAGACTTTGTTCGGGTGACTTGGGATGCATGATGCTGCAATTGCAAATTTGTAAATGGGGTTTCCGTAGCAAATGTAGTCGGGTTATGTCAACATACCAAGATACTTTGTGTTTCATACTGTATTTCATTGGCATCAGTACAAGTTGACCGAGTAAGGCGCAATAGGAGAACTTTTAATAATGTTTGTGTATGCATGCATGTTTAAGCAAACTGACACACAAAGGCTTCCTGAGAAGTGAAGGATTCTCCTCCTTCAAATAGCCTCAAATGGGATCTTGCATGATTGTAAAACCTAAAAAAATGCTTCAGTGTGCAGGAAGTGCCAGCTCCATGAGGCTGTCCGAACAAGCTGTTTGCACACAAACCAGCTCTGATGTCTTCTGTCAGCCCTCATTTTGGTAAACACTGATATCTACGTGACGACACGGAGTGACAGGTGCATGATTGAGGTACTTAAAAGCAGACGCTCTAAGCGACTCTCCTCCTCTCTGCTGATCCCAGGGTTGCTGTGATTCTCCACATGCGTTTCAATCCCGACATTATATGCATCAGCTCTCTTTAATCTCCTGCCACGTCTTTAAGGTCTTGTTTTAATTAATGTAATGCACCTATTGCAAGCTTTAATGTTAATTGCAAGATAGTTTCAAGCAGATTGTAATAATCACCTCATTATCATTCACGACAGAATTGTTTTGCTTCTTCATTAGAAGGATGAGCATCACTTCTTAGAGATCCAGCGCAAACTTGTTTGATCCTGCCAGCCTGGAGCCGGCTTCACATGGACTTTGCCACCTTTTCAAAGACTTTGCTTTACGAACAGGTCCACTTAGACGAGATCTGTAAAAGATAAACATTAAATATGCATCCAGATCTTCTGCTTGGGCGAGTGGACTGAATCCGTATGAATGGCTAATGTGTTGCTGTGACGGCAGCAACTAGATTGATCACTCATTACGATATCTGCTCCATTGGCCATTAACACCCGCGAGGAGTCTAACCACGGGCCACATCAGACACCAGGGTTAAATTGAGAGTGAAGAAGGGAAGTGTGTGTGTGTGTGTGTGTGTGTGTGACTGGGGAGGGGTGGTGTGTGTGTGTGTGGGGGGGGGGGTTCTGCAATCCAAATATGGTCAGCTTTGCTGCTGTAAATTGAAATCTGGGTTGACAGTACAGGTGATTTGCTTTCGGTGTCCCGGTACACATAACTGTAGATTCCCACCAGGGATACGGCCCTCTGTATTTATCACACTCACTAAACACATTAAGCCACAATACTGCAGATAAAAGCGTAACCAATTACCCAGATGGCTCTTGAATAGAGGAAAACCCTACGTGTGATAATATTAGACACAAACTGGCATCTTCGCTCATAGACGTCCCCTCCTGGTGGCCTATTCCTGATCCAAGAGTACGAAGGAGCAACGCGTGTACGTTTATGAGTGAGTCAAGAGCCTCTCCACACCCACAGCTGCAGGGATGTTGTCAGAAGAACACAATTTAATAAACCTGTCCATGACACCTGAACACACACTTTCTTTCTCTCTGGGCGTCTCTTGTGTTTTTGCTTTCTCTCCAGCACACACACACACACACACACACCTGCCTAAGTGAAGGATTTACTTGTATTACACACAGTACATTGAACATGTCAATCACGCAACAGTGCAGCTGTCTGTGTGTTGTCTGTGAGCTGTCTGCATTCCTTTAGAAATTAACTGTGCACCTTAAATACTCTTTGACACGCAGCTTTAAATGCTGAAGTGGGGACAAATGTCATGACAAGCTGTTCCATCAGTTGCATGTCAAAATCACTCAAATTGTTTTTAATTACCATAACTGAATGACTAATGCTGACCAATATATTGAATTCATGGCATAATGATTCATTCGGGACACAGATGATCACAGTGCTGCTCCCCTTCACAGCACTTTAAATCCTAAAGGAGTATCAAGATGTCGTCCCTTTTAAGCTTAGCTGATTGTGAAAGTGAGAGATAATTGTTATCAATGCTGTTTCTGACCCGCAACTGACGATAGTGTGCTACAGTATCGGATGCTACTGTAGAAATCCCCAGGTTGATTAAGTATAAAGAATTGTCAAAAAATCAAAAAACAAACAAAACTGAAACAAGTTACAAAAGTATGTAATTACATTATTGTAATTAGTATATAGTGTCACAGTTTTTTCACAAACATTATTTGTGTAACTCCAATTCACTCCCATATTTGTCATAAATGAATTACAAGTCAACTTTTTAACATTTCTAAAAAGTGGAACCCAGACACCTCCCTCAAACGAGCGGTCTTAAAACTATCGGGGGGGGGGGGGTGCGGTAGTTTTTATGATGTCAAAAATGCTGGTATTGACATAAAGCCTGTTTACGCCACTGTGCTCCCCCTGTAAAGATTCTGTCCACATAGACCTCATACTGGGTGAGGGGACCCCTATTCATCTTCCCCCAAATGGGATAGCATCCTCCAGGGGAGAGGGGTGACACAGTCCCTGCCAAGGCAATGGGGAAGTCCTTCTGCCGATAATAGCAGTCGACGGGGGGAACAACCTCAGCAGGCAGCGGGCCAAACAACTGTCAATCAAAGTACATCTCCTCTTCTTCCACTTTTGGTTGCCGCTGCCCGTCCTCTCCATACGTCTCTCTCTCTCTTCCCTCCATCTCGACTCCTCGCCTTCACAGTGTGCACACTTCAGAAACTGTGGTTCAAATCTCCGGCCTACAGAACCTCTCAGCGAACATAATGAGAATGACACTCCGACGTGGGTTGTTCGGGGCACCGGCGAAGACAAACATCAATTACAGATGTGTAACTGCGAATAATAAGGCATTTAATGGGTCAGCTAATTGCATAGCAGCAAGGACATCAGCCACACATAGAAGAAAAAAAAACACCAGAACATTTTCAGCTTTTTTCTACTCGTCCCTTTAATAACAAATAACAATCAACAATTGTGGACCGCTTTTACCTAATTAGTAATTACCACACTGATGATTACACACGCATTGGCATGAAATCAATTGTTATGAGAATAAATGGCACTTCCCACTAAATTTGATTAATTTCGAATTTTAAGTATCAATCATCCATCCATCAACTCTTAAAAAAACAAAAACTAAATAAGTTGCATGGGGGAAAAAAGAACATTTTGCAGAAAACTCTGCGACCGAAGATTTTAGACAATTGATCGCTAAAAGTGCCCAAACACAAACTCAGTTATAAGTTTTCCTGCTAAAATATGCTGGCTACTGTCAAAGCGTAGAGTGCACCCGATAACTTGTTTAACAGTTTTAATTAATGGGTTGAAATTGAACAGGAAAGCGTAGATTTTGCGTTGGTGTGTCTCAGCGATGAATTGTCACCATGGCGCCGCAAAAGTGGGAGAGGTAGCGCCATTGTTTTGCTGCTAGCTGTCTGTTAATGAGACATCACTCCATCAAGGGTGGTCTGTTATGACAACTACCAGAGGCATTTTTGTGTGTTTGTGTTTGTTTTTATACAGCATGTGTGTATGTGTGAATATGTGGAGACAAATGACCCATAGCAAACACTGAATAATGCAAAAAAAAAATCTCTAAAAAAATGCGTTAGCCGTGGTGGGCAGGAGAAATGCTAATGCCAGGCCTGATGCAAGAAAAATGATCATACTCTTTTGTGAACTGATGATAACTTAGATGATTGTATTAACGGTGCAATGTTATTATATAAAGAATGCAACAAATTGATTAACAATGAGAATGTTTTTTTTCTGCCCGAGAGCATTGATGTTATTAACGTTGAATTCATCATGAATTTTTTGGCATCCATTAAAGAGATATATTAAACCATATGAAAAAATCATGTTTAATATTGGAATTATCTGCATGGAACAACTATGTTTGTGTGCTACACCTGCGTTTGCTACCATTACCCTGCCACGCATTACTGTGTGAACCAGTGTTACTCAGGTGGACCATACACTTTAAGAAACAGTGTGTGTGTGTGTGTGTGTGTGTGTGTGTGTGTGTGTGTGTGTGTGTGTGTGGGTGTGCGTGTCTTAACCAGAGTGGTATGGTGTAAAACGAAACCCCAAGACTCATAAAATATATAACATAGGCCATCTTGCAGATTTTCCAAATGGCACACACATTCAACATGCATGGCTAAAATCAATATCACAATATTTATCATATATTTTCAAATATATTTATGTATTTCTCAGAATTAATCATAATTACAACATTATGAAGTACAATCAGACCAACTGAAGCTTAAAGCAATAAATGTGCTCCACTTTTTCACATTTACATTATATATTTGTAACACAATTTGATCACATCTTCATGATAAAAAAGGCAAGTGAAAAGTGAAAAATAATAAATATGGGGGTTAAAGCACACACAGTTCTACTTATTCATGATATTGGCATGATAACGTTTCAACCAACTTTTCTTGAATACATTTAAAGTGGTAAAAACACTTTTGGGTGGTGTTTTAATACAAAAAGTCTCCTTCACATCGCTCTCTGTTTCTCTCTCAGCGTTTCAGCTGACATCCCCAAGAACTCCTCTTTCCAGTCTAGCAAAATACAACAGAATGGACACAGCATTCTCCTGAGCACAATGGATTTCCACGAACTCACCAAACTCCCACAATGACCAAGTCTCTCAATCCATGGCTGTGGTTGATGTTTGGCTTGCACTGTTGCTGATATTGCCCCTTCCTCCTGCTCCCTCCTTTCAAGTCCATCCATTTGACAAAGTGAAAACAGCAACAAAAACACAAACAGAGCCTCCCCCCGAGCTCAGGCCCGCGCAGCCAAACCTGACATTCTAATTAGTTTGAAAAGTAATTGCTCGAAATGATTATTTGAGTTGGGCCACTTTCTCCCGTTACCTCTGAATTGGAAATATAATTGCGGCGGACAGTAATTGGCCGGCCTTAGACTGTCGGTTATTGTAGTCTGTTGTAGCCGGCTGCATCATTACCAGGGCTTGGACGTGGTTCAGTTTTTGAACTACAGTGACTTGAAGAGGAACACAAACACACACGCACGCAACCCTCTGCTTCCCCATGCCAGCTCTTCATCCCCACTCAGGCCCACGTCCCGCTCTAAGGATCTAAGTCCTTTCTCATCCTGACCTATGGGGGGGCGGGGGGGGGGGGTGTTCTTTCTTTCTCTTCTCCCATCCGTTGGCCCTTCCCTCCTCTACCTTAGGGGCAAATGGACTGCTAGAGTGGGAGAGCTGAAATAAGGCACTCTCTGCAAAAGTGTCGTCCGTGTGGTACATGCTCACCCATGCCCTTTCGCATGATAATCAATATGTCATTTGTTTGCAAATATACATGTGTTTCTGTCTGTGTGTGAGGTTTTTTGGGTGTATGCATTCTCTGTTATTGCCTGTATCAGTACGTGTCTGTTTATGTTTGTTGTGCAGAGCTTCCTTTGCTAAATCGTCTGGAAGCCAAACAGCCCCCATCAGTTAACCAGGCAGAAAGAGCTGTGTATCCTGCTAAAGCATCCAGGACATGCCAGGGGGACCACACACTCACAAAAACACACACACATATACGGACACAGACATTCTAAAGATTAAGAAAAACTCTAAACTAAGAATATATAATCAACAACTCAGCATCATCCCAACCAATAACCATTGGTGGAAGATGTTCTCAGATCGTTAACTAAAGTCCCATTGGAGTAAAACTTCTTACTAACAATTTAACATACTAAGTAATACAATAATATAAACTTAGCAGAGAAAGTGTGTTTGTGTTTTTTTTCTTTCTTATAACAATGCTTCTTGGCAATGATTGTCATCCCGTTGGAAAGCCTGTTTATTTTCATTTGTAAGGCGCATGGATGTGTGAGTGATGAGTGTGTGAGTCCCACCCATGTAAAATTCGCCAAATCTTCCCTGCCAGCGCCAGACAGCGCATGCACACAAACACACACACACTGACTGACTAATTGACTGACAGACACACATTTGAGTTTGTTTCAGTATTGAAGCCACTGGACGTATGATCATGCTAACGACGCAGACAATTAGCTGTGTCGAGGCAAGGCTTGTCCTGCTATTTTACGCCGATGACAAACAAGAGACCGAAGCGCCGAGCGCGGATCCTCACCCTCGTCAACGGCCGTATCGAACACAGAAAACACCATCCAGCGAGAGAGAGCGCCCCTAACAGCGAAGCTGTATCTGCCAATTACTCTTTCCCTCTCTCTGCTAAGCAAAGAGGGATATAGGTCAGGCATGTCAGACTAAGGCTTCTGTCATCCCCCTTCCCTGCCCTCCACTTGCGTGCATCACTCCGTGCCTGAGGATAGAGGTCCATTCCATTAAGAACCGTACAGCAGAGGCCCACCCCCACCCTGTACGTACACATATTCCCACCTACGCGCACCATTAAAGAGAAGAATCACTAATAGTGTCAACGGCCTTTAGGGAGGAAAACCTCAAGGCCAGAACATATGTCACAACAAGCAAAAGTGTTACTGTTTGTGTGTTTGTAAATGTGTAGTCTCACTCTAATGAAATCCAGAAAAAGTTAAGTTTTGCCTTCTAAACAGTCTTTGTGCTGGGTGGGATTTTGATCCAGCGTCTTTGATTAGTGGACTGTAAGTATTGACAGCCTGTTGTGTCTTATCATCGCAACAAACTGACAGTAGGGAGCTCGATATCCCACCAAGTCTCCAATACCATCTGTCTAGTATGGATCTCTGGAGGTTGATGCTTGATGGCTTGGGATATCTACACACCGCAAGCCTCAAGGCCTGGCAGACAACCGTTGGAGGAGGCGTAGCTACCCCACTTGAAGCTGTTCAGTCATCTTCACACACACAGAGTAGGGGCTGGTAGAGTTTCTGCACTCTTTTTCATGCCCTCTCTCTCTCTCACACACACACACACACACATACACACAGAAGAGCGTGATCAAACACTACTGTGATGTCTTAATTAAGAAGTACTAACAGGCTTGATTAAAAGTATAGAATTAAAGGATCCGTCGATGAAAGAAGCAATTCCCTTATCGGCTCAGAGCAGCAAAAGTGGATGGGAGAAGAGGACGGGTGAAGGAAAAGAGAGAAAACGGAAAGCATCAACAGAGCGAAAGCATGCAGAGAGAGAAGAGGAGAACTGAAGCGTGATAGAATTCACGCCTAAGTGTGACTGATACGGCTCAGACCGTACTGACTAGCAAAAGTTTTGTGCGATAACGGCTTACATAGGTTTTCATTGGTGACCTCCAGCCGGTGGTGTCTTTGGGACCGATATATTTGTGTTTGCAGACAGCACCAAAATAGACATTGGGCTGTCTGAGAAAGCGTCTGACCCGAGTTTACTTTTGGGTCACGTTCTCTACCATGGATATGAAAACAAACAAACCAGGCCATTACCAGTGAAGGGCAGTTCTCTTTACTCTCTTTACCCATACCTCCCGCTCTCCTCTTTCACGTGTCTCTGCGCTTTTAAAGGATTCAATTAACCTCAAATGAACTAAAGGAATTAAGATAAAAAAGACACTGCCTGTGTTTCCCCTGTATTCAACTATTCTCCACTCCAGTTCCCTCATATCCCTTCTGCCCCCTCCAGTCATTTCGTATGCTATTCTTGCCTAACTACTTTATTCTGTTTCTGCAACAGTTTTGGTAAATGCAGTATCAACAACAAGTATGACGGCACCTGTCCTACGTTAAATAATAAGAATGACACCAATAATAATCAGTATCCTCCTAAAGCAAATCACTGGTCAAAATGTTAGTTCTAGAGGAAAGTATGTTTAATGGTATGAAAATGAAGGACCTATCTTGATTTTAAAACTACTCAAATATTCATTGCATATCCAAATTGCCCAGAGAATATTTGATGTTTTCATTCAAATCTGGTAATTGAGGAAGACAAGCACAAGACAATAAACGTAAAGGATTGTTTATTGACCTTAATCTGAAGTAAAAATCTGGAAACTCAACGGTACATTTTATGTAATGGGTTTCTGTTATATCAGGCGTGTTTAACCATTAATTAATATATAGATATTTAGTTCAGGGAGTAGCTTTGTATGAACATATTATGTAGTTGACAACTGACTTTCAAATTAAATAAAGAAAGTTCAATTGAATAATATCCAATAAATAGTTATCATCACTTTTTATCTGAAAGAATTTAATAATAATCAAATATACCTCATTACTTTACAATATAATTGAAAAAAGAACAGTACATGTTTATCTTAACATAAAGTACTTAATTTTATAAAAAAATATTTAACTGAATTCTGAATTCAGTTTGAAATTAAGTTAATAAAGGTGACAATCAGTTAATTCTGGGTAAAAAGCTCGTTTTGGTCTTCAGTCCTTCTCTCCGGTCTGTTGTATATCAGTCGTGCCGCGACGTTTATCAGAATACACACATTTGATTGGCTGAAAAGCCTCATGTGATATGATTTACAAAGCATGTAATTGGTCAACGTGCTTCCTGCACCGCCGAGCGGATGCCGTAAAGGCTCGAGAAGCGGCGCAAGTTTAAATAGAAGGGCTCCGTCCATTTCAGTTCGGTTACAGGCTCAGGCCCCCTGGATTATCTAAATAATTGGGAATTCCACTACTTTTACACATGAAAGTAAGTTTATATTCGTGTGAGTTCTACTCTGGAATTCTACTCTGCATTTGTTAAAGGAAAAGGAAAAAAGGTGGACGTTTTTAGAGTTTTGTGCTGCAGAGGGAGATGCACAAGTGATGTCACTGGATTCAGCATCAGTGGATAAGTGAGTTGACCAGATGTATCAGGCGCGCTCACTCATGTTTAAGGCAAGGCTTTGATTTTACATAGCAGCTACTACATCTGATTGTCTGGCTGGCTGAGGTGCATTGTGGGTAATGCATGCACCAGGTTTTAACAATGAAGAATTTGTGAAATGAAAAAAGGATGACAACTGCATGAACTGCATCTATTTTCATCATCATGGGTCCAACAGTGTTAAAGGACTTTAAATACTACATCTCTAAAAAATGTGAATAATTTGCTTCTCTTTTGAACAGCCATCTGTTAACATACCTGATGAAAATACTCAAATAAGGTCACATTAAATCACGCAGAAAACTGACACTGACGCAAATTTTCAATTATCATCCCCATGAAACATATCATCTTGAGCATTGTATTCCCGATGCACGGACAAATACTGTGCCCACGTCCTGACGACACGTGTGCTCCGTCCCCGGTTGTGTTGCGGAGACAGCAGACACACCTCAGCCCTGCTGACAGCCCACAGCCTGACCCTGCAGTGCTGCATAGCTCAGCACAGCTGTCTGTTGTCCGTTTCTTCCGATCCCTTTCTCCTGCTGTCTCAATCCCAGCTTTGTGCCCACTCAGCATGATAATGATATACACCTCTGCCCGGTCATCTCTTTGAAGCTCTGGTCTTCTAACGCGACTCAAAAAGGATGACAGCAAAAGCAATGATATGCGGCTCAAACAGAGTCTGGTTGGGCGTAACTGTGACACTGGCCTCTCTCTCGGGCCTCTCCAAAAAATACGGCAGATACTTGTTAATTAGCTGGTGTGAATCTTCTTAAAATGATTATTATTAACATGACTTTATATGATAAACAGCTTGTCATCCAGTAGGGCCCTGAGTTACATTAGTAAACAGTCAGAGCTCCCTCTATGGAGCGGTATCTTAAGGAGCACGCTCAGTTTACTCGTGTCAGCATTTCAGCTGAACACTGGCACCATGTTGACGTGCAGCAGATGAATATTAAACCTTGAGAAACAAAGATGCGCTCGAAGCAAAACTCTGCATAAATATTTGTCATATGCACACACGCAGACGCTCCCACAATCTTAAGCATCCCTCCCAGCAGGCACAATCACACTCGGGCAGATAATTCAGTGTCACAGGGAGCCTTGTGTCTGACCCTGTGGCCCCCTCCAGACAGAGGGAAGCAGCTGGACAGGGACCCACGGCTGCCTGGAACTCACTTCCCCTCGGGAGCTCAAAGGAGAAGAGTCCCTTTCTGCCTCGGAGAATGACCAGCTGAGCTTCCACAGCTCAGTGTACGGATGTGCTGTTATGTCTGTGTGTCCAGGAAGGTCAGAGCGGGGTGAGCGGGCCTTGGAAGTGGGCAGCAGTGTAGGGCTGTTATTGTGAGGGAAGCTGGTAAAATATATAGTTTTTCCACTTTGTGCTTGTGTTATAGAACATAACTTGCTGTCAGGGCGTACTTTACTTTAACCAGCTTATTCCATTTTTGATTTAATTACATACACACACGCACATGCCCTGGGTAACAGGTTTAAGCATATAGACATACAAGTCTGGTTACTATAAAGTTTCTATAGGTTCTTTATGCTGATAAGATAATTCCTGTCAATATATGATGTGTGGTTAGTACAGAAATCTGACAATAATGCTGTGTTTTAAGTGCATGTAACATACTGGAGGTGAGACACACACACACACACAGTTCCAAGTGGTGGTGAGTGAGGCCCTTACTAAGTGCGTATTAATATTGTATGGTTAAATGGAAAATGTTAACATTTTTTAAATTGCTCTGGCAGCTTAATTAAATATTAAACAATAAGAAAGCTTTTGTTTTACCATAATACTAAGAAAGCTATAAACATGAATTATTTTTTTAAGAGAATGAAACATTTGCTCATCTTTCCTCTATATGTGGTTTTGGTGAATTTCATTGTAAAGTTAACTTGGCAGTTAAATTCAGCCACAGGTAACCATTCCAGTGAATGTTAGGTATGATTTGGTCTCTAATGTGGTGATTTAAAATATTTATTTGTGTCTTATTACTGAATGAAGGTGATTCCCAACATGAACCTTGTGTTTTAGCATGGCCGCTCTCTTTCGTTAGCTGTTCCACAGAGACAAAGCTTCACACGCTTTTGTTATAGTGCTGCACAGCTACGGCCAGCTTCTCCCAGATGACTGAATCTAGTCTTATCTTGTCTTGAAACAGTAAAATAAATGAATAACTGAAGCATGTATGTTTGCGTGGCCAGATTACATCAGTTTGATGAAAAAAATTGTTTTAAAATAAAAAATTTAATAAATATCAGCTTTATTCAAAAAGGATGAAAACAAGTAACATACAAACAAAGTCAGTCTGAGTCACTTTGAGTCTTGATGATCTTTCGGGTTGGGCTTTCACTGAGGGTCCCAAAACTATTCGGTGGCCAGAGCTGTGCAGGACAAAGGGTGTAGAGAATCAATGGGTTAAAAGGGAAATAAGACACACCAAAAGCAAACTATAGAACTAAACATTACCAAACATTGTGCATCACTTCTTGGACACATTAACTTATTTGGCCTTTAATTCAGCATTTGACTTCATAAGAGATCTTATTATTTCATCAGCTGGCGCATTAGGGCCTCCAGTGGAGTGCCGCCGTCCAATCAGATGGACAGAAGGTTGGCTGACCTGTTTCCAGGGTCGTGGTTGCTATGACATCCAGAGACATGACAACACGGCAGAATGGAAAGCTAGACAATATGTTGTCCAGGCTTTGGTCAATCAGACACACTTGCTTTGAACTTCCAACTGACTCGCGTCTCTGAATTGTGCTTAAAAATGGCCGTACTGGACTAATGAAAGACGGAATGAAGAAATAGAAACCTCGACACAGAACTCGGTCAGAACAGAGAGATACACACAAGATTTTATCAAGTTATTTTTACAAAAGAATCTATTAAAAAAAATTAAAGATAAAATCCATGATGGGATTTTACCTTTAAACAAACGCGCCCTCGGATGAGGGCATAGGGAATTGGGCCATAGCTCCTCGAGTCGGTGGAATTCCTAAGGTTATCCCCTTCTAGCCATACGTGGCCTTTTGGAACCTAAAAACATCACCGCACACGTGGAAAAGGGGGAAAAAACATATTAAGCATGTAGACCGTTTTACCCAACAACAAAAGGAATCAAAAGCACAACCTAACTTTAACGTGTAAAAATGAGTGGATCGCCGATGTAGTGAGGATCTCCCCTGCCTCCAACCCTAACCCCCCACCCAACTAGCCGCCTCAGCCGTCCCGCCCTCCTCAGCCACTCTTAACATCAACCTGCCTGTCCCTCTTTAACCCTGAACCTTTTTAGGAGAGGGGTCATGGGTAACAGGCGGGGTCGGGGGGGGGATTTAGAAGAACTTCAAACGGGGTCATTAGGCTGTTGGCTGAGATCTGCGCCCCTCTTACCCAGCGAGGGCAAAGCAAGAGAGGGGCCTAAGATAGCTGGGCAGAGCGAGCGAGACAGAGGGGGAGAAAAAAAGGGAGATAGAGAGGGCTAAGCTGCGGCTAGCAGCAGTGTCCAAGGGTCTCCACCGTGGTCCAACCTGCCAGTGGGGCGGTCACCCAAGCGGGCTCTAATTCGCAGTGACACCAATTATGATTAATCTCATCACTTTAGGAGAGTAGGCTTGTCAAGGCCCTAATTAAGTGCGCTGTCCCCCCTATATGTGCAGACAGGATCAACAACACATTATATTGTCATAATGGGCATCACAATCCACGAGTCTATTTTTGTGTTGCCTAACTTTTTAACGGCAAAAGTCTTCGTGGGGAAAGAGGAGAAACCCGAACAAAGAAACTGAATTTCATCCACACGGGAGGTGACGTCACTTCTTTGCCTGTGCTCGTATTGCTTGGTCCCGTCACCCTACTCTCTGATTAGTCTCTCCAGTCCCACTGTGGGACGGAGCCTTGCGTTTCATATTTGATAATGGAGACAGATGATGTGACATAATCAGGAGCCAGTGACATGTTGACCTAACATGAGGTAAACAACTCACTAAATAACAACGAAACAAATGAATATCGTTAAAGGAGTCATCTGAGAACCATATGTCAGCATGCTGGATTCCCACCATTACACCTCATTAACATGGTAACATATGCTGGCTCCCAAGCTCAGGAAGGAGAAACACCACCGTTTGTCATCTGCCAGACTACAACTCCTCATCTTCTAGACCCATCTTCATTATGCTCATCCATTAAATGCAGAGAACTGACAAAGACATTGCAAGTGGGCTATCCAGAATGTTGAGGAACCACAGCACACAAACTTCACTTTAGATATATTTAGCATACAGCCTGAGTGATACCACTAAGAAGGTCAATGGATGACAGAAGAAATAAGCACTTCAACGGGTCACGTGAATAAATGACCTCAAAGAAAAACTCGGGTCTGGGTAAAGAACAAAGTACTTTAGGGATGAGCAGAGTTGTATTTCAGAAAAAAGTGAAGAAGTCAGAAACCTGACCTGTGGTACTGTTGCGAGTGATTCAAAGGCAAAGCTCTGAATCAAAGCTCCAAAGTAGAGCACACCATCCTTGACTTTCAAGCATTTGAAAATAGCCACAAGGCACATAATGTCACTTTCTTTCTTTGCATGCAAATAAAAAGTTGTGTTTCAGAAATTTCTCTGTAGACAGGACGCTGTGGAAAATAGCATCAGAAATCTCATTCCTTAAATATAGGAACACATGCTTTTGACTGTCATCAACAGATGGCTCCAACCACAAAGACGCAGGTACGCCTAACGAACAGTTTTAGCATTGAGACGCGGAGTCACTTTAATCCGCTCTGCTGGCGGCTCTGCCGTGACGGACGTCAGAAATTGCTGCCGTGTTGCAGCCGCGGGGCCGGGTCGAAGCGAAGCATTGTGTACCTGTCAGAGACGCCTCGAGAGGAAGTGAAACTGGAAATGTCCTCGCGGTGGATGTGCGTTGTTTAACAGCCAAACCATTACAGTGCTCATTACGATAACATGGTTGAGGTGGGGAATTATGTTCATCTTAAATACATAAAGGCTTATAGAGTTCGTCTTTCACCATCTTACTCAAGGGGACACTACATCTCTAACTCTCACTCGACCTTTCCCCACTTTGCAGTAATATTACGGATCAACTGTCATTGTTTTGACACACAAGCTCAGACAGAAATTATTCTTCGAGAGCCCAAACAATTATGTCAACATCGGGAACTTTCAGTTTCCTCAAATGCTGTCACATAACGCTGGTGATTTTAGGGACCACAGCATGTATCAGGCTGCAGGATATGGAAGGAATTGCATGGTAACAAGTGAAGACTTCTGACCTGCTTTATAAAGCTGATAACTGTTTAGAGTAGCACATTACATTACATGTCATTTTTACAACATTACAACAAAGACACGAGCAAAACTAGAAATCATCACTTACTTATGCCTGTAAATGTGGTCTCAAAGGGGGAAATCTCTATCAATAGCTTTCCTCTCTCTCCGTGTCTCTATTCCTGCATTCATAATGCAACTCATGTTTGAAGCTTACAAATGTCTCTTTCAGCCCAGTATTATCTCACTGCATTTGAAAAAACAATAATTTTATGGATTAAATACAGTTTTGGGATCTAAAATAAATGATTGAATTATGCACTTTTTCATTTCTCAATTAGCAGTATTTGAGCTGCACATATGACATTAAAACTGAAGCACTACAAAAACAAAAGAAGTTTGGTGAGACAGTGGGGACATAAGATAAATTATTCAACCGATTTGTTTTTTTATCTAACTTTTATCGAAATTATTCTTCTGCAATTGTTTCAATTGTCACCCCTTCAGAAGAAATAATTGTTCCATTACCAATATGCATTGACTGAACAGAAGCCACGTCATCATATTTTACAAAACACTATGGTCACGCCACAACTAATGTGAAACTTATTTCTGTGAACATCATTGTCAGTCAACAGTCATCTTTCAATGTATTTATTCTGTAATTGTTCAATGTTTTTTTTTTAATTGAAATTCATTCGAGTAAAGTCTTGTTTAATCACATCTTTTGAGTTAATCAAAATCGGAAAACGAATAAAACTACAGAATCCCCAAATTCATTTTTGAAAAAAGCAAATGAGGTTTCTCAGTTCATAAACAAAACCCTACCTTCAGAATCTGTGGATTGATAACTCGCACACGCAGCATACGGAGACACAACGAGACGGCAGCAGATCCCCATGGTCTTCATTTGGATTGATTGAGTTTAGACTAAGGCTAATGAACTAACAGCTTTGAAGAATTACAAAGTGGCCTGAAACGTACTACGTCCTCAAGATATCGGCGTGTATTGATCGGTTTGAGGAAATAAGTGATTGAAATTAAAGGAGCATCCAAAACAAAGTTGACGTTTTATCCTGAACTTAATGGACAAACCAAAATCATAGTAGCTTTTCAGTGGGAAGTATGAAAATGTCTCAATCTAATCACGTGTCATTACGCACTGGGTTTACGAATCCCAACACAATGATGTCACCTATGACTGTGTGCGTCCACTGCATCTGTGGCCGAAGACAGCAGAAGAGGAAGAAACCTCTTTATTTCCTATTTCATTTGTTGAATAACACTTAGCGGCTTGGCCTCAAGCTGTGTTTCGCTGAACTTATTCAGCAGTCCAGAGTCCATAAAACACACATCAAATTCAAAAACATGCAACATGCAACGCAACCTTTGCACTGTAGACGTATTCACACACACACATACACACACACACGCACACACACCTCCGCCCACCCATCAGTCTGTCCATTCGGCTGGCACTAACTCTAACAGGCTTCAGAGAGATTGCAGGCCTGAGCTGTGGGCGTTGGGGAGAGCAGTAATAGAAAAGCAATGACAGTGGTTTCAGCAGCAGAACCCCCTGCTCACTCTCTGGTTTTATCACTGTTCTGAGGAAATATAGGTGTTGTCAAAGGCTGATATTTTGACCAATGACACAAAATGGATGTGTGCGGTCTAAAATGTAAACAACTATGACGGTCATCGAAAACAAAGGAAACCAAAAGAAAAGCAGCGGGACGGTTTCTGCATTGCGTAGAGACCCGGGTCGTTCTTCGTCAGTGAAACAAAGTACGTGGAGAATTAAGTTGTAAACTCATTCTTCAGTCATTCTCTATTTTACCATCTTTTAAAGGCTTTTTCCGCCCAAAGGGACTCAAAAACCGGCATCATGAACCTTCCAGGATAAAGCAACCACTCACAGGACGTATAAAGAGACGGAAACATACTCACATACGTGTGGGCCTTGAACAGAGCGGATGCGGAACTCGTGCAGATCTTGTCACCTTCCAGCCCAATAACCCTTTTACAAATGTTCATGTTTGGGTCAAATGGACTCTTTGCAATTATTATATCACCCCTAAAAAAAAACCAATAAACATAACCACTTATTTTGGAACAACTCAGCATGTGTATTGTCGATGATGTGTGTTTGTAGTAAGTTGCTTCCAGACAAAAACAACAAGTGTATTCAAAGATTGTCTCTAACTACTGCACATGGATCCCCTGACTGACACTCACTTTTGTATTTTGAAAAGCTGACGACTCATCCGCTCAGAGAAGACAATGTCACGGTTGACGATGGTCGGCTCCATGGACGGACCCGAACACTGAAACAAAAACAGGACTATTTATACTCCACTTCAGAGCAGTAATTATCAATCATATATTCTGTAATATTGACAATATAATACGCACCACCACAAATTCTCCAATGTATTCAAAGGCGCAATGTGCGATGCAGCCATACTGGACGGTGTAGCCCACGAACCCCAAAGTCTTCCCCAGCACACTGCGGAACATCTCCACCTGCAGCGTACAGAACACAACCACAGGTTATGGCACAAAGTCAGCGCGCGCACACTAATCACATTGCTCCATATCGACAGCGGTGAGGAAAGGATGTCATGTTTGGTCCATTTACGGTAGGCTTATGTCCTTTGCAGGATCTCTGAAAACCAAAGCTGTTGGGGGAGGGGGGGGGGGGGGGGGGGATTTAATTTTCAAAGGGGTGGGAAAGGGTTGGTCCAAATGGGCTTACCCTAAAAAGGGACAATTCCTGGGGTTTTTATCGCAAAAAGTGAGCGTCCGATTCGCACAAGAAAACTGCCCCGAACTTTGATCCCGCGTAGGACGGACCAATCGACACCTCGCGTTCAGGTGACGGACAAACAAAGAGGCTGTGACACATCCAGCCGAGCAGCTCAGCACCGTCTGCAGCCAGTCCCTGACACTGTCGCCGCCTCCGGTACCACCACAATCATTAGAGCAGTTATCAACTTCTGTCAACACCATAGAAACACAAAGACACCCCCGGCAACCCTCCACCCGCCCCCCTCCCCCCCAACGAATGCACACAAGGACTACCCGCGTGTCTTCTGAGCAAACACCCCGGCCACACTCAGGGTATTGACTTTAACCAAAGCTGCAACCTGTTGGATGGACGGAAGAAAGTGAGTCAATCTTTACACACTGCCGTGCATAGTGTGTACGCAGGCACACACGCGCGCACACATGCAAATACACAAACGGAAAGGAACGGACACGTCTCGGCTCAGACCAAAGTCTGTGCTTTTTTTTTGTTTAGCTGAGGCCGCTGTCCTGCCACTCCACCACAGGCTGAAGAAATATTTTATTCCTTCCGTCTCTTTCCCTCTTTCTCTCTCGCCATGTCTTCTCTCCCTCCCAGGGTATTATTAACAAAAGCAAGTAGAGCGGAAACCAAAGCCCCAAATCCTCAGAGCACTGAGAATGACTTCCCAAAGATGGACACGGATTAGACCCCCAATTTCTCCGTTGCCCCACCACCTCCACCTCCCCGTCTCCCCAGGTCCCCAACAGACCGGGTGTCAGGTGGCTCTCCCGGCCCTGCCAAAGGTGTTACCCCTAATCCCATTACCCCCCTCTGCTCTTTTCACACACACACATACAAACACACACACCCACAGGCAATGCTCTCTCATTCATGCCAACTATATTCCACCTATTAAACCCTATATCTATTCTTTCATCCCTAGCACGGTTTGTCTCTTTGGCCCATTCACCATCCCCTCTGATCCAAAAAAGACCAACTCCGTCTTTTCAGATCCCCTCGATGCGTGCTACAACTCCACTCTTCCCCCCCCCCTGTACCCTGATCACCCGTGGCAACCCTCCTCTTTTTGCCGCCAACGTGAATGACAGCGCCTGAGGAAGTGACGGGGGACACATGTATGCTCAGCACAGGCCCCAAATCAAGTGCCCCTCTCCGGGCTTATTCTGCACTGGGCTCTTCCACAGGAACCGTAAAGTCAGTCTTCCCACAGCCGGTGCAATGGCACCTCTGGCCCTACAACTCCTCTGCTGGGAAGCGCGCGGTTTAAAGGTTAATGTGAATCTCTGGGTTTGCAGTAAGGCGACATGTTCATCTCTACACGCCCTCGGCTTCCTGCACCAGCGTCTCCCTCGTTGAGGCAGTGTAATGCGGCCTCGGACATGATCTCACATGTGCCCTTCCTTCTGCTAGGCTGGGGATCAGGAATCTTTGCTAGCGCAGTTGCAAAGCACAGCGCACAGGCTCCTTTACAGCTGCCCTCATATCTCGGTTTCAGATGCCCCCTCCGCTCCGACCTGCATTCATCATAGGTAGGGATGTATAGGGACTTTGCATAACAAGATCACACGGCCAGTGACTGATATCAAGAGAGTCCATATGCAGCCGCCTGGTTTTCTGAGGCACCCTCTGTCATTGATAGTGTGTGCCTGTGTGTGCGCATGTGGTGTGACTGTGCACAGACAAAAGCATTAACTTATGTGTTTCATAGACGGCGTATATGAGCTGCAGTGACTCCTCCGGGACCCAGAACGAGGTGGACATCCACAGAGACCTGATTGGATCTCTTAATACCTCGAACTCCCCAGAGCAAAGAGTCAGGCAACTAACACTATCTCTTGCCCCTAATACGCAGCGTATGTGTGTGTTGGGGGAGCAGCACCATTAATTGAATGCAGTATTACAGCTGTAAATGAACTCAAAGTCTCTGTTAATCCAGGATTACACACCAAACATGTCCATGGGAAAACAAAGAACGTCTGCACAGCCTCTCTCTGCAGAACCATCTGTGGCCACCGGCCTCCCGTGGCACAGAGCTACAGCGAGGCAAAGAGAGGCACCCCAAATGAATAGCCGTGGATGGAAACACCTCATTGTGTGTTTAACTCTGTGATCCTCTTACTCGGGGAGCCCAGTTCGCTCAGGCCACAGCAATCACAAGTAAATGAATGATTTTCTTTTTTTTCTTTTTTTTTTTCAGAGCATAAACGGCAGCAATAATGGGGTTGTCTCACTTTGTCCATCAAGCTGTCAAAAGCATTTTATGTGTACAATTTCAGACACTGCAATGATAAAATGTCAACGAGGTGCATTTCTGCCTTCTGCATTGACAGCAATAAAGAGGCTTCCTGAGCGTGGCTGTGACAGAGACATCCATGGAAAATGGATATAGTGTCTCAAAGGTTGAAAAGCATTTGGCAAATTGTTATTGTTCCTTCATACCATCAAATGTGAGGATTCCTCTGGATGAAAACAATGCATTGACCTTGGATACAAGGAAATTATGCCTGCAGAGATTATTAATTTATTGACTTAGCTAATAATATATGGACATGACCTTGATTGTTTTAATGACCTCGATATTGCCCACTGTCTTTGCTTGCCTGTTTGTTTACACACATTTTAAAATTTTATTTTAGCCAATGTGATCCCATAATAAACAGCAAGGTTTTTCCCAGCATTATAAAACATAATGCGTTTTTTTACATGACATTTCCAATGTTTGAATCTTCTTAAGAAATGAAATATGCTCTGCACTATGAAAGGGCATACTTGCCTACCTATTATATTACATTATCATTATATCAGTAACTCAAAAATCTTAATAGTAAAATAATATTGCTCATCAAAAATATTTCTGGTACAATATATTATGAAACAAAGGTATATTTTGTCAATATGCATCAACACATATGACACGTCATAAAAAGATGTGATATATAAATAAAGATACCATTAACGATAACACCTTTCAGATGAAAATAAGCATGCAAAAAATGTAACTGACTTTTTTCAGGTCAATATTATACTGGATTATTATAATTGTGTTCATCATTAATATATTTAGGTGGAAACTCAGTTAATGTGTGAGCAGCAAACAAAAGCCAACGTAGCGAAGGTGAAGTTAATAACAGTACGCTGAAGTCAATACCTGATTATACAAACATTATTGACGCCAAAAGGAAATATTCCGAAAGGAATTACTGCTACTGGTCTCAAGAGGTTTGAACCTGCCACTGGCTGAGTAGTGTTAATTGATAAACATGGCAAGTCTATTAGAACCACAAAGAGAATCCCAATCCAAACAGCACATAAGGGCCTTGCAGCGGATTCCTTACACAACTAAATTAGGAAAACATGGGCTGAGAGAGAGCTGGGCAACAGGGGGGCTAAGAGGCTTACAAGCCCCTTGTCAGATATTCTTTTTCTCCCTGAGGATCCCAGATGGAAGGGAGTCTGGAGGAACAGGCACAAGAGACGGGACGAGTCTCACCTCTGATGTCTTCTCTGGGCAGCAGAAGGCCGAGATGGAGGGCATTAGTGCTGTTGAGCGGAGCCTGATTTGATCTTAATGTGATCCATAAAAAGGAGGTTTGACAACCGGGGGGGGGGGGGGGGGCGGAGGGGGGTAGGAGGGGAGGGGGGGGGGGGGTTGCTTCGACCCAATCAGAGATAATCCTGCCGATTCAGACGAAGACACCTGGCTAGATGGAGAGTGGCAGATGTAAAAGTCAGAGTACTACGTGCAGCCCCCATCTCCTCTAGGCCCGCCTTCTAGCAGAGGCTTAATTGAAGAAACTGATCTCCATATTGCTCTTTTCATTGTTGCTAACGGCAACATAGCCGTGAAACAGCTGAGCGGGGTTACTATTTGAAGAGCTGAGGGTTTAAACCTACAATCAATGGGTCGGCCAGAGCAAATAATAGCCAAGTGATATGAATACAACTGCTATGAATTGAAAGGAAGTGAGGGTGGACGGTGTCCCCAGCCAATTACACAGAATGGAAAAATCAGCCGCTAAGCCTTATTGTATAGACCACAAGCGAATGCAAGGTGCCGGTCGGTTGCTGAGAGAATTGAGAGATCGTATCTGGTGTTGTATCAGATTCATAAAGGCGTTTGTGTTTAGAAAGCGCCTGCTCCCGACAAAGCCTGATACATTTTAACACTAGCTCGTGACAGACACCTCAACCTAAAAGCAAACCAATGATTTTTAAGAAGGGGATTTACTTCTATTCTAAGTCTAATATATCTAAATACGGCTCGTTGTATTTCATGCAATATCAGCAAAAAAGCCCCAGGAAATCAAAGTAATGTTATTCCTAATGTGGGATGTTAAACAAATGGAAAAGTCCAATCTTTAGACAAAATTAGCTGCGTACAAAACCCATCCTACCCTTATTGTAGCTGTGCCCTCAGAATATAACTGTACTTTCAACACTACCAAAACAAATATGGTCCCAGTTGATGATAATCTTGCATCCCCCGGACACGAGAAGTGTACTGCTTCTAGCTGTTCCCCTCTGATGGCAGAATTACACAGGAGAAACCAAAACAATGTGACCAGGACAATTCTGACATGTTATGACTGCTGCCATTATATAGCTCAATCAGATACAAAGACTGATACAACTGATAAAAGCACTATAGAATAACATGTACCGATGACACATTGAAAAGGGGGGGAAACTTATGTTATTCTTGTGCAATTAGGTTTCTGTATTTACACGTCCACAGACTGAATTGTGCAAGAGAGCCCAAAGGTTAAATTGGGATTGAGGACAATTGGAAATATGGTGACTTTGCAGAGAGCATGTACAAAGTTTCCAAAGCAACGTGCTCCCGTCTCCTGCACGTTTTACTGCCGAAGCAGGTCCTCCTCCGTCCGAGAAGCGAGTTCAAGCAGTACATCTTATTCGTCTCATATAGTCTTTCCACGATGCCCAGAGATGTCATTCATGATGTATTCCCTTGGTCTAGTGTCAGCACGAATCAATCTCAACTGTACTGTCAAAACAGCAGGACGGCCTCTGCTGAGAGCATTTGTAAAGTGAGCAGTTGGGTTGTTGCCTCCTCTGGAGCCTTACAGTGTCCTGTGGTCCCGTGTTGCCTCTGGCCTCTCTGCCTCACAAAGCTTTTTTCACAGCCGTCTTAAGGCTTACGCTGATCACTCATAAGTCAGCCGGTATTAATAGTGGATACTTTGCAGTACAATAGAAAACGGCCTTTTTCATTGCCAGTTTGTCTGATCTAACATACTATTCTGAGTTTGTGATATATATATATATATATATATATATATTATATATATATATATATTATATATAATATATATATATTCTATATATATATATATATATATATATATTATATATATATATATATATATATTATATATAATATATATCTGATAGGGTTCCATCATATCAGGAGGCTCTTCTCACAGCAGACATTTTCACTTAATGGAAGATCCTGTTACTACACGATAATGACCTAACAAAGAAACGTTCTATTCAAAGTGTCCCATGAAAATGACGCTCAAACTAAAATGCTTAATGAGTGTCCGGCATTTGTTTGAATATATACCTGTGCTTTTATTTGATGAAAAATGTTTATTGGCTGCTGAGCAGAGTGTCGCATTAAACATTACACATTCCAATCTATACCAGTTCAATTGATTGTAGTTTTTGTCCGAAGTCAAAATGGGATATAAAAAAAATAATCAAGTCAAATGAATATCAAACATTTTTGTGTTTGAAATAGAAAATTTTCTCAAAATGGAACAGATTTTTCCCATTTCAAGCCAGGTTACAGCTGTCACCTTAGACTCCACTACTCTACTAGTTTACTACTCTACGTTGGCGGAGACCAGTCATCATTACCTGTGAGTTTAACTCAGAACTTAGAATGTCATTCAGGAAGCTGCTGGTTCTCACCACTGCTGTGCACAGGTACTCTTGAGCTGCAGGGTCTTCCTACTTCATGCACAGGCCACGTCCCTCCTCTCACCTTCACATCTGCGGAGCCAAAATGGAATGTGATTAGGAAATCTGCACGCAGGGATTCACATTCACCAGTTAGAATGACTACAGTCTATATGATCAGAAATGGACATAGACAGCAAAAGTCATATAGTTGATCACATGTGCACAGGCACATGAAGCTTCTCTTCATGACGATGCACTTGGAGGAACCATGATTACATCACATTACATCAAACCCACCACGTCCTAAAGAAGTCACACTGTACTAACTTTTGTCAGTGTCAAATTAAACCGTTTTAATATGTTTATATACATTTTAATCTTGTTTGTAATAACATTGATAATCCTAAATTAATGTCATGTGAGTAGTGTCACAGTTACAGTTTTCAACCTATTACGGGGCAAATTAATTAAGTGTGTTGCTGATTTCTGCTCGATTGATCATCGATTGATGATCATTTTCGCAATGCAACGTTCCTCACACTCCCACCACCTGTGATAAAAGGCTGCAGCATCCTCTAAACAGTTCATTTAGCATGTCACAACTAACTGTCTTTTAATCGTGGTTGATTCTACTTGATAAACAAGAAATGACTTGTAATGGTAAAAGAAGGGACTGCTTCTAGAACAGAATTGCGCAATGAACCAACAAGGTCATAGCGATATGAACCCACGCGTTAGGTGACTTTTGTCCCGCACAGAATAGCGGCTGGACATCGCACGAGCACGTAAGCTGTCATGTATTTAAACAGGATAAATATATAACCAGCCACTTTAGTTTTACTCACCTCCTGAATGAGCGATTCAAGGCTCTGACCATGCATTTGCCACAACAATCTTTTTTTTAAAAACCTTCTGACAGCTTCCGCACGCGGCCAGCAAACAATCGCTTCTCTCATTGGTTAAGACGCAGCAACGTCTTCTCTAATTGGACAACGCGCTCCAAAACAGTTTCAACCGTCTCCACGTTACAAGCAATATGGCAGCCCCCGTGAGCACTGTGGGTAAACCCTCAGCTGAGCGATTGCCCCTCAACACGACGAGTTTTCAGAAGAAAACGAGGACAAAGTTGATCTCCATACCCGGTACCAGGCCATCGGTTCAAAACGGACAACTCTTAGTGTCGACCGGTGTCACGTCACTCGACTACCTGCTCGGTCAGTGTGCTGCTGAGCTCCTCGGCTAGCGGCAGCTACACGGGCTACACTGGGTGTGCTAGATAATGTTGTGATTCTTCTTTCAAAGAGGGAAAGTAGGGTTATTACCCAATGCGGAGTTGCGTCACTGTCGGATCAGTGCAATCTGTACGAAACGAATGCAGGTTAACTGCGGCATGGTGCATATGTGTCTTTCTGAGGTCGGAGCCTATTCACATTTAAACACCATGCCATCATTTGTAATAGAAATATTCATAGCCAGTGGAAATGTCTCAGCTTGGAGATGTGTAATTAAGTTCATGTGGAATTCAGACGATGCCAAAAATGTAACTGTATCAAGGACCAAAATAGTCCTGCTTAGTCGATTAGTAGTTCCACGCATCATCCTGTAATATCAAATGTCTTCATAGAATCAGCATGATAACTCTGTGTTGTTCAATTCATAACATAAAAATAGAGCGCTAAATTTGAAATAATACGTGTTATGCTGCAAGCTGTCTAAATCCATGTGTATGGATAGTTTGAGGTCTTCAAACATGTTATGTGAAACATCAATGGGGACAGACTTTGTATTATTTGCAATATTTGAAAGTCATGTCAGGTGTTTTATCAGCATCGTATGGTTCACATTGATTCAGAGTGAAACAGAGATATGTAGTAATATGTGACTAATGTTATACAAATTGTGGCCTGTGTGTGTCTTTGCAAACAGGTGGCGGGTTAGCAGTGGGAACAGTACTTCTCGTAGGTGAGTCTCTGACCTTGAAGGCAATAATTCCCTCCACAATGTGGTATAAACATCTTGTTGAAAACAGGCTTTTTGGGCAATATATAAGACTGAGAGGAATCAATTAAAAGTTCAAACCAATCGGCTAAAGGTTATTGAGATAATTATGACGTGACTGGACAGACTAGCTTAAAAGAAAAGTTTTTTTAAGTTAAAAAAGCAGATACTATAACTATAGCCAATGCTTATGCTCATCATGCACGTTGTTGTCATCAGTCTTGAGACGCCATTTATAAAAGAGAATAACCTTTACCAAATTGTACACGTCTCACACGTGAAATCTCCTGTGATGAATATAGTGCACGTGACAAAATGGTAAACGGGACACAACAACAGTTGACTCTTTCTGAAGGACATCAAGAGCAAGTTCGACGTGTTCATCATTGTACTGTGAGCAATCAGTAGAAGTTTCCTTGTAAACGTCAGCGTACTGGTGTTCACAAAGATGCGTCATACACAATATGAAAAATGCTTTAAGCAAGACGAGTATTCTACTCCGACTGATTACAGCCTTCGGCGGACACGGCATTAACCCGTCGCCAGAAATCCAATGTATTACAAAGTGGAATTCAGTAGTGTGCCACAGCTAATGGTACTGTCTGTTCTCTCGTGGGTCTTTTTGGGGTAGCGTGTCAACGTCTAGCAGGATGGCAAATAGACCAATGACCTGAAGGTCTCTAGAATCCCAGGTGTTCACACGTCCACTGTGATCCCCAATTGATGCACGTGTGTTTATAGAAGTTTTCGAAAGTACATTTAAAGCAAGTGGGATTCTCGGCACATAAATGTCTTCCGCTGTATTATTATTGTTATTATCTCTCATCACAGGCTGGGCTGTGTGCACTGGTCGACAGTGAGGTTAAGGTATTCTTGTTTCCCATTTTAAGCTGTAATTTGTGTGTAGCAAAGGCCTATACCAACCGATGATATTGCTTTGCCCTTTAATTCACCCCCTCCCCAATCGATGCAGGAGTCAGTGATTATACACTAATGCGTTCTTCCCTTCCATTTTGGGAATCAACGTACGGTTGGTTTCATCTGGTAATGAGAGACACAGTAAAGGTGAAATGCGTGTGTGAGCTCTCTTGTGCTTCGTCTGTGACAGAGCCGTGTGCTTGTGCGCGCCGAGCTGCTGTGTTGTGTGTGTGTGTGTGTGGGTGGAGTTTGTTTGTGTGTTTGTTTCAGGCCGTCGTCTTCTACTGCCTGCGCCTTTTAGCTGTGACGGCCTGTTTGTGAGACGCAGACATAAAATTATCAGACTGGTCGCTGTCTGCCTTTTGAAGTGGCTTGAGCTGTCCGTCCCGATTCGTCAACTGCAGGGCGATCAGCTCAGTATGGCTGCTGTCTGAAGATCTCTCGTCCCTCGTGTTTTTGAAATAGAAGGAACAAAGCTTCCCAGCGTTTATTATGTTGGCCATGTACGCTTTCATTAGTTTAAGCCAATGGGTTTTTCCTTTTAACGTTCCCGTAGTTGTTCCTATTAAATTGTTTTTACATGTTTGCTTTCTTCACAGCTTTAAAGCCTCTGCCTCAGAGATGTCTTGGATTTGAGCAGTTTTAGTATTTGTGGAGATTACAGCGGCAGATATTTTAAAGTCGTTCATCACAATCATTACTCTGTCCAACTAAATAGGCATACAGGTATGACCAAATTTAATTGATAGACTAACAACTGTCACAAGTTGAAGCTTAACAATAGAAACATGTCTGACATATACAGTATATGAGGCTCGACAGATTGGCGTTTAACGGAAGCCTAATACAAGTTGGAGAATTCACAATCGTGGTTCAGTTATTTCAAAACTGCAAAAGAGCTTTTTTTTTTATTACGTGCCCATATTTAGTTTACCTGTTGTAAGCCGTACATGACTTCATGCTGCTCAGTAGAAATAATAGACCAGACCAGAGATTCATACAAGGGGGAGAACACCCTGACCTAGATATTTAGTCTCCTCCCCCTGCGGGTTTGTCAGATATGATTCGGGACACTCACACGGCCTCGTTTGAAGGCAAAGAGAACAGCGGTGTTTCCCCTCTTTACCAAACAGGTAGAACCCCCCCCCCCCCCCAAAAAAAAAAATAGAAAAAGGAGAAGAAATAAATGATGCCGTGACTGTCCCAGAGTGATTGATCTCCCTCAAAGATATGACCGTCCCCCACCCCCTGTTGCTCGTATACCCCCCCCACCCCTCCTCCCCAAACCTCCCGCCCCCTCCCTTACCCCCCGCCTCAACAGCCTAATGACTCCTGGAGGTTCCATTTGTAAGGCTCCCATAGAAACACAGCCACAATAGGCCCCATCTTGAGAGGGCCCATCTGGGAGTCTTTGTGGGGCCTGCTGAAAGCCACAAAGGCCTGCTGACCTAGAAAGCCATCAATAAGAGAACAGGGAGCCCCACCGACAACAAATTGAAGAGCCATGGAATTTCCTGTGCCATCCTAAGTCCGTAGGTGAGGACATAGACCGGGAACGTGGGAGGGGAGGTGTGGGGGGGGGGATTCTCTGGAGGATTCAGGATGACACGTCAGGATGTCATTCCCAAGCTGTCAGCTGTATGCCCACTACCTTAAACCGTCACCGCCTTTGTCCTCGTGCCTACTGTTTGTCATTGTATGGTGAGGCCTACGGAATCTTTACAAAATGATGATTGTGACAGGAAGCAGCCGCAGCATGCTGGGTAGAGTTATGTGCACCCCCCCCCCCCCCCCCCCCACCACCCACCCCGCAAGAGGGCGGCGGGGGGGGGCATGGTGATGATGCTTGTGAATTTGGGGTGGGGGAACAGTCGGGTGGCCGCTTTGTTTGCGCGGAGAAAGGCTACCTTTGGGAAAATGGTTTCAGTGTTCAATCACTTGCCTGTCCACTTAATGCTTGAGACGCTGGGAGTGACCCTTTCCACTTCTGTTTAAAGTCTCCCGTGTAACTTTACAATGTAGTTTAACCTGGTTTGGGATGATGAACACACACCTGGTGTAGGAGCCTAATAATGAAAGCAGGACATTGCCAGCAGAGTTCACACAAAAAGCAGAGAGATTGAACCAGATTTCAGTGAGCATTTTGAGGACAGGCACTATATCATCCTGCTTCTGCCGCCTCTTGTCAGTTGTCCAGACAGGCGGGTGGGGGTGGTGGGGGGGTACCTTTGTGGTCAAAGAGAGGTGTCAGGTGAGTGCTCGAGACAGGTGCCTCCCTCTCACCGCTGCCGGTTGCGGATATGATGGTCGAAAGTGGACAGGGACACTGCGAAGACCTTAACAAGAGCGCTGAAGATGTCAGCTCCACTTTGATTGTCGGGGTCACGCAGTAACACCTGTGTTTCTGTGCCACGTCGATGGCTGCTTCATCTGTTTCATGCCGAAGATAACCCGAATGTGGTCCTTATATCAATTACAGTTAGATACTTTGATGCGGTCACAAACTTTTAGATCTGTGGTGTCTGAATGAATGTTCAGAACTTGGTAAGATCCAATCTTTCTTTTTTTTTTCCTCAGGGAAAATGTTCATCACAAAATCCTCTCCTTTGGCCGTTCAGGTGTTGGCAGGAGGGCACAGATTAACTAGTGTGTGTTTATTTGAGTTTTCCACTCACCCTCAACTTCTGATTGTTTTTGTCTTATGTTTCGTTTTTTTTAGAGGAGGACCGATACGATAGCTACTCACGTATGATCTTGAAGTACTTCTTGGCAGAAGGAGTTGTGTGTCGACATGAACTTTTCGTGGCGTCGGCTCAAGATAACCCAGATGACATCTTACAGGTATGAAAGGACAGATTTTTTTTAAAGCTCTTAAGAAGGAAACTTTTTCTGCAAGTGCAAAGTATGATTTTTTTTCTGTTTTCATATCATCCACTAAAGAAGCAAGGATGGCCTCAATATGTCTACTTTACCACCATTCCTGTACAACTGCACAAAAAAAACATGCTTTATATTTAGTCATCTGAATATTTTGCCTGCTTGTAAAAGTATTTTCTTCCTCTCACTGATCAGTGACTCCTCGCTGTACAGTACGCTGGTCACACCCGTGATTAAGCAGGTATTAAAGCTTTTCCCCCATGATGTGTCGGGGTCAGCAGGGTGTCTGAGAGGTCAAGGGTGACATGGTTGCGACATTGTTGAAATGTTTCCCGACGCATCGCTCTGTGAAGAGGACCATAGTGCCAGAAGCTGACTGCCAACCAGCATACAGGATGAGGGCCTCTCTCCCACTGATTGATAGTGGGAGGGGTCACAGCCTCACCCTCTCTTTACATATCAAAGGCTTATTAAGAGACGGGGACTCCCAATGGGGATATTTCACATCATTTATTGTTTTCACTGCTACATTCACAGGGTGCTAATGTTTAGATGCTTGGGTTCTACTTTATGCATTATGTTAACACGCAGACAAAAAAACAAGCTTGTGGGATGACATCACGTTAAAGCAGGACATTTTCTTGCTCTTAAGAACCGATGGTTACTTGAATCAGATAATTAGTCAGATTTCACACCCACCCGACCATGTTCTTTTTAATGATTGCACAGTGAAAGAACAAGCTAGTTTATCACTAAGATGAGTTTTTTGTAATTCCACAATGATTCTGCTGTTCAGCGTCACTGACTGACTGGCTTATTGCATTCCCATTTGAATCAGACTTGTGATCTAAGTTCATACAAGGACCAGTATAGGAACCAGTCATCATTCCGCACTGTTGTTGTTTGAAGACTTTTAATGCAGTCATTCTCTAGCAAGCACCCCAGTTCAGTTGTGTTCAGTTTTGGCGAAGAAAATCAATATTCTACTGGAAAAATCTCCCATTTTTTCGGGGTTTCTCAATTGCTTCAACATGAACAGCAAAAACTATTTAGCTTTTTGTTGACGTTCAAGATATCATTTTTCTTTTGAGAGCTAAATTTGAATTTGAAGTGCATTGACATTAAGTCATAAGCAATACGAATAATTCAAAGTTCTCTATGACATTCACAATCAAACATTTTGAAGTTATTATATTAATTGTATTCTTTTGTGTAGGAACTGCCTGCTCCCATCTTGGACGATGTTGCTATCCACAAGCCAGTGGAGCAGCCCAGGCTGTCTTGTGAACCTCAGGACAGTTTGGATGCCATGAAGATAGCCTGGCGCTATCAGAATCTTCCAAAAGTACAGGTAAGGAGGTGGTCACGCCAGTTTATGTTGTCTGTTATGATGACTGTAGCTGCATATTTGGACAACAACTTACAGTATGATAAAGATAACGCTGCAGCATTGCTACTTTATTCAAAAGTCCAACGTGTGTCTCGGCTAATGATTGCATAAGAAAGAACAGCGCTGGCTCTCTGGTAGTAGTAGTTTGGCAATTGTCTCGACCACTAAATCCATCAGCTTCTAAACTCCTTTGTGGACTGAATGAGGCCTCAGACTCTCCTTTCAGAGCTGGACCAGATTACTCACACTTAGCTGGCAATAGGTAGGCTTTTCACTGGTCCCCAACTCACATATACACACATACACACACGCCTGCACCCCTGCTTAGCCTGGGAAACAAGAGTACTTTGCAGCCAGTGCATTGACATGTCTGCTCGCTCAACCCTATGACCCAGACCTGCGCCTCTGTCTTCCCCCAAATCCCTGCCTTTCCCCCTGCTAGGGTCGGCAGGCCTACACTCTTTCTTCCGCTTTGAGGAGAGGCGACCCTCCCCTTCTACTTCTCTGCAGTCTTCCCCCTTCAGTCTATAATCCATATCGCTATGTGGATTAACAGCACACAGTGTATCCCTGGGGATCCTCTCCTTCTTTCTCCCTCCCTGGAAACTTCTTTATATCTGTGTCCTTTCCTCATCTCTCCCCCTTCCCCTGTAAAATCGTCTTTACAAACCACTAGTAAGCCCCACCAGAGGATTTGCATCCCAAATTCACCCCCAGAGTCAACGCTTACTTTCCCCTTACACACACCTCTCCTGGCACAGCACACTGTGCTACTCTCTCGATGAAGACATCAGATCAAAGGTGAAGCCGTCAGGGCGGGGATAGAACGCTAAGCGGGTTGCCCAGCTCACAAAGAGAAGATGAGCCCCTGACCCCCTGCCCCGCTGACCCCCTCGTCCCGCCAGGAGAGGGACACACCGGGGGCCCTAATCCAGATTAGGAGTAGATTAAGGGCCCCTCTAACAATGGAATCCCTGGTTTTACTGAGAGAGAAGAGCTAAAACTCCCTCTTTCAGCTGCAGGAAAACATCCGCCTTCCCCTGCGTCCCTGACACATTTGCTTTCAAAGGCAGAAGTGGACATTTATGTAAAGAAATGATAAGGAGCGTGGTCGTGGTGGTTATTTAACTTCTCTGCTGTAGGAATGTTGAGGAATGACCCATAAACAATGCAATTGCATTATCATAGTCTCGAGCAGCAAACTCATTTAACATATTTGAAAGACAAAGGAGATTTTTGCTTGGTTCATAAATCGCTTTATTCTTTCCTGGATTGAGTTAAATCAGTTATTGTAAGAAATTTGATTAAATGCTTTTAGTGCTCAAACACTTTGACGTAAGTTTGACTTGTTGACTTCCTCAGAGTGCTCTGGCCTCCTCATCCCGGTTCGGGCACTACTATGACGTCTCCAAGACGATGGAGCCAGAAATTCGCCAGGCAGCCAAGTGCCACCGCTTCTACCTCACAGAACATCCCACCCAGTCACCGCCCACGCACAGGTAAAACGACAAGACATCATTCACAGGATGCACGAAGACCAATGAGACACAATCTGCAGAACACAGGCACACAAACACGACACCGTCCACAAAACACGGTTACACAAATTAGACATTTGTAACGGAACACAGTTGAGCAAACATGGCATCGTTCACATCGACCGACTAGCATCCTTTAAAGAGCACATACTTTATAAACCCTGCAACCAGCATGTGTGTTATGGAAAAGTCAACCCGACAGAAGGAAAATAGCTCCCTAGTATCACGTACAGCCCCTTTGTTCGAAATAATCATTCATAAGAATATAATGAATTTAGCTCTGCAACCAAATATTGTTTTTATTACAAATGTAGCTTTTGACGTTCCTGGATTCATTGTTTGTTCTATGAAAGGTCATAAATTCATTGAATTGCCTAAATTCTTTTAAAAAAGTGAAACCTTACTGCTGGGCCAAGCAACCACAGCTTTTATCGTATCATTTAAATAAGTTGTTGTCGTTTTAACAAAAATCAAAGAGATGTAAACGACCCCTATTTTCACCATTCAAACAGTCGATACAAGTCAGTTAAAAAGCAGCCCGGCTCAACCTCTATTCTGAGTAGCTTGCCGTTGGTCCAAGACGTTCAGCCTGGTGGAAAGGTTGTGTATGTCTATTCAAATAAGGGTCTTGTTTGCTCAGCGCCTGTTTGATTTCTCCTGCGTTGAGTGTATTTAGGGTTCAGAGGTCACACAGGCTCTTTACTCAGAGAGTGCTGCTGAACAAACAGGGGCACACGAAGGCCCACTCACACACACTGGGTAAATACAGCAATCTGGAGCACAGAGGATGTGGAGGAGGCTTTGTAGAATGCCTCGTCCTATATTTCAGTAAACAGAGGCCCGATGCAGCAAACACGTTAAAAGTTGCGGCTATTCGGTTGAAAATGTGTAAGATGAGGCTCACGCCTTTCACTTTGTTACAAAATATCTGTCCACAACGCAATAATGCCGATTGATAGAATTCAAAGAAAATAATAAAACATCCCCTCTGCAGATGTTTGCAGCCATGTGTGTCAGTGTAGTGAGTGAGGGTGACACACTGGAACTGTCGTGCCGCTGTGGCGTCTGAATGGGTTGTAGATCTCACTGACATTTTGACAGCAGGAAACTACACCTGCACTGCACCATTGTGCCCCCATCCCCGCCCCAATACAGACGCACATGCATACATGCGCACACGCAGACACTTAGCATATTGCACACGCACATGTACCACACAGGCTACTCCCCCTTGCACGTGTCCACAGCCCCATGTTGATACCCTAGCTGTTAAATTGCTCCGTTTCACTTGAAGGCATAATTGGCACAAATTGCTCTCTAGGTGATACAGATCCTGTTGTTTAAGACCAAGCATCCCCCCTCTCTCGTCCTTTCTTCCCTCCCTGAAAGAAGAACACCGAGATAAAGAAGCTACCCTGTGTATGATCTTAATTAGCCGACGCACTAGCCCCTGTAGCTAAGCACCTAGACCTTTTGGTACCTGAATGAGGGGTGCTCAGTAGGGGTAGCTGAAACACAATGCCGTCCCACACAATGGCTGCCAAGCAGAGGCAACCTCCTGCTCGACTGCATGTCAAACCATCCCAGCCCCCTACCTCAGAGCACGGGCATGGGCAGAGAGGCCAAGGAGGGTAGGTGTCCCTCTTTCACCAAAACCAGCTCTATCATTAGCCCCAGCGGGGTCAGGAGGCACCATTGTTGGGCTGAATAACTGAAATAGAGTACATGGATGTACTTGGCGCAAGTGTAATCAACACGAGTATGTATTACTGTTCTTTATGCAGGGCTATTGGGGTGTGACCAATCCATGTGTATCAGCTTTTGTAGCCCGTAGGTGAAATTGACAACTGGCATAGCAGCCCACTGTGACTCTCCACAGAGTGGTCATTACAATGGTGGGGCGTTCTTAAGTTGGGGGCTTGTGTAAAATGATGGGGTTAACGTTTCTATCGGCCATCCTATAGGCACATGACGGGCTCAGCAGTAACCAGTCCCTTGACTGTTGCTAAATGCTGCTTCCAGTGATGCTGGATGCCCTTTGTCAATATGCACATCTTACCCTTGATTTAACTCCAAAATGCTGTTGCCTGTTAATTCCATATATCAGCCCATTAATCCCCCCCCCCCTCTCCTTCTCACTTATCGCCTTTGTTGCGTGTCTGTTTGTGCATATGCACGTCTCATCTGTCTGTTTGTCTGTCTGTCTCGGCACAATAAGATCCTCGGGGAGCTGACAAGAGAACCAGTCATGTTGTAATTTAATCAACCAAATAAATTAATTGGATCTCTTGATATGGATCATTTGTCTGCTTGAGTGGCTTCAGAAATGCACAGTCAGGAGAAACATGCTGCAGTCATGGAGCATTAAGCTGCTGTGGCTAAAGGCTCGGCCCTGTTTCTTCAAAATGGTTTCAAATCCATTTTAACATCCTAAGTAACCCTTTTGTGTTCTCTTTCTGGTCGTCTTCTCCCCTCTGTCCTGGGCTCCTTTCAGTACCATGCTGGAATCCTACTCTGCGTTGCTCAAGTCCCTTCAAGAAGTCATAAACAGCGAGGGTTTTGATGTAGCAGCTCCCATGGTAAGAAGTAAATGATGTGCTGATTTCACCAATCACCTGTTTCATTTATCAAATCCACAAGTTTTTTTATCCACTAAATGTCATTCAAGGGGGATTCCTTGACTTCCTGCTGATAACATGTTTGTTAAAAGTTTGCTAAAGTATTCTTCTAAGCTCACTAACTGCAATGAACCCAGAGACTATTGTGCATATGTATTTTGAGTGATATTCATCTGTGGAGTATTTTTAAGATATAGATAATGGATCCAACTCTGCAACCCTGAGCTCTTCTGTCTTATTTCAACCCCCACTTCTCTTGAATCTATTTCACCTGCTCTGGTTTTCCTCACCTTTGTGTCCCAGCTGGGTGTGTCTTACCTTTGATATACATCTATACAGAGACATCCGTTGTCACGTCTGTTTCCTACAGGACTGGCTTCACACTGTGATGTACCTATGTATATAAATATATACATAGGTACATCACAGTAGGTATATATATATATATATATATATATATATATATATATATATATATACATATTTTTACTGTATGAGTGTGTGTGTGTGTGTGTGTGTGTGTGTGTGTGTGTGTGTGTGTGTGTGTGTGTGTGTGTGTGTATGTGTGTGTACTCGCCCCCCGCGCCTTTTTCACCTACTTTCAGCGAACCCTCTGCTCGTCACCTGGAGCCACCTCTCCCCCTGTCACTCACACACAGGATTTACCTCCAGTGCCCCCCACCCTCCATCCCCGAGCGCTGTCACTCACGGCAGATTAACTGCTGACATCATTAAAGCAGCGTGGCCTCCTGTCGGGCCATTGGCACAGTCTAGGAATGCAGACCGGCACTGAGCGACATGGGCACTGGCACAAGAATGCCCAGCGCGGGTCTCGGTCAGCGTGTGCGTTTGTATTTTTATTTGTTAATCCGCCATCATGGATCAGTAACGAGATGCGGATTTCATGTAAACTGTATTGTGTAAAAATCTGATTAGAACAAAGATCAATCTCCTTAACCCTATTTTGGAGTCTTTTGAGATGGCTGGGACAGGAGTGGCAGCAGGACTGTGAGTCCCGGCAGAGATTGGCTGGTGATTAGGTTGTGGTCCCAGGCTGGCTACAGTCTATATGGCTGGCCTGTGGCCCTCGGCTGGACTCAACTGGCACTGTTCCCTGATTTTTCTATAGGCTCAGCTATAGGAGTTAAGTTTGGCCTCTCCTCCTCGATGCCACAGCAACAGGCGTGTCCCCACTGACCCCCCTGCTGGGCTGCAGACATAGAGATAGAATTCTAATTCTGTGGCCCCAAGACCTGTGTAGGCAAACCGAGTTAAACAAAGAAAGGGCATATCTAATAATGACAAAGGCACGCACACACACGCACTCACACAACTCTAAGTATAGTAAGGTAGAGAGATGCAGCAGTAATGCTGAGTGGTGTAGAGGAGGAGGAATGTAGGTACAGTCCTGTGTGAGAGTCCTCCTTTGGGAAACTATGAGGCAACTGTGAAAAACTCCCACAAACAATAGGGTTTATTTTTCTTAGATGCCGGTGATTATGATGCAGGTCCAAACGAAGCTGTGGTCATATTGTTGGGAGAGGAAGGGATGGGGAATTGAGGCGGGGGTGGTGGAGGGACAAAAAAAAAGAGGAGAGGTGTGGAGAAAAAAAGGGAAAGAATGGACATATTTTAGGCCTGAGTTTTGTTAATCTGTGCTGGCGCTCAAACTCAGCAATCAGGAGCCGTCCCAAAGAACCCCCAAATAAAAGGCCTCTGTGGTAAAGGTTAAAAACCTCTCGCAGCTTGGACCGGCACCTCCATTCTCTTCAGTGACATATATATATATATATATATATATATATATATATATTATACGGCCATCTTTGTGAGAGTGGGTTACTGTTGATCTCTTGCGGGGGGGTGTTTCAAGGGAAGGCACTCCACCCTTACCCAGCCCCCCTTGGCTGCAGAGCATCGGTGTTGTGCCAAGAATGTGCTGGGGTTTCTGGGTGGCAGCCATATTGGAAGCCTGTCTGACAGGTCCATTGTGCGTGTGTCAGATGGCCCCTGTGATTGGGTAGTTGTGTCCAGTCACGTTTGGGCACTGTGTTAAGATCGTCTGTGCTGGTGAGCAGACTGTCCAGTCGCTCGCTCCCAGAGTTTGGGAATACTACCCAAAACAATGCAAAAGCAGCAATCTGTTCTTAAGATGTAATGTAATGAGCTTTAAATCAAATAAAACTATAATAGTCCACTAGGATGTGTGTATGTTGCTTCTATATAAAATGACATATTTGTATATAATTATTTCTTTTTTGTTGCTTGTTGTTTCTTATAGTCAAAGTCGCGTAACATACTGCGAATCGGGCTTCCCTCTCTCGGCTCAGCTTTGTGGGGCGATGACCTGAGTTGCCACGACAACCCTAGAAATGGCCACGCCCTCGCTACATTTTTCTATGGACTGCGGGCTATGCTGAGGTCATCGCTCGCGGTTGCTGTAGTTACTGTACCTTCACATCTCATCCAGGTAAGACATTTTGACACACGAGAATAACTCTGCTCTGTTCAAACACATTAGCATGCAGTGATAATACAATTTCTCCAATTAGCAACATTAACCATTGAGTTAGTTTTCATCTCTCTGTCTCTGCTACTCTGTTCTGTCCTGGACCAATTTCCTTGACCTGCTACCAGAAGGATAAATAACTTTCTAAAGTTGAATCTTCTTCAGTTTACACACAATAGACGGACGGTTAGGATTTTTTTTTTGCGTGGGTTGATGTTTGGCCCATGTGCTTTTTCTTTGTCTTGGTTATTAATGGGGAACAAAGTTTGAAGTCTTTTGTAGTGGGGCCTCCTCTTGACCCCGTGGTCCAGTGTCACCCTGGTAGGACTCAGACCCGGGCGGGGGCCTCGCCCTCATGCATCGCTCCCCTAACAGACCCAGTTGAGTGCACACTTCATTCAAAGGCATCTTGGTTTGTTTGTTTGGGCTTTTAATTACTTGGAGCTGCACACAATGGGAGTGTGTGCCAGTGTATGCATTTTATTCTCTTACAATATCTCTCTCCTTGTAGTTGTGTGTATCTCTGGTTGTTTTTGTGTGTGCGTGTGTGTGTGTGTTTTGGGGGCGGGGGCGGAGTATGAGTCGGCGCGCATGTGTCTGTGTACAGTCTGGCCTCTCAGTGTGAAGGTGGAGTCATCTGCTGAGGCATATGGCGAACCACAGCCCTCCCCCAGAGAGTCGACCATGGACGCACACTCACAAGAATAACCATCTGAGACTTTCTGCTCAAATGTTTTGTCTCGCCTTCACTTTAAGACTCACTACTTCCTTCTAGTTCCCGTCCTTAACAACATGGGAGCTGCGTTGTGTCCGATCATTTTATTAAAAAAAAAAGATATAGGTTGCTGCTTAACTTTCTGAACAGCTGTGATGCCACAACATGCTCTGGCTCCAAGCCTATATGCTGAGTGCACAGCGGCCTTGGCCTAGTCAAAAAAGGTAGAGTGGCTAACTAGCAGATGTCAGCTGTGGTGGGAGCGGTCCCCATGTCCCTCTCTGGCCTGGCCTCCAAACCCTTAATCTGTCCCCTTTCTCCACCCTGGGGAGTGAAGTGAAAGAGCGAGGGAAGATGAGGAGAGGGGGAGATTTTTGGACCTTGGATCTTGAGTCAGGTGTTGGATGATTAAGCCAACATGGAGGTAATGAGAGCTTGTTAAAGCTGGGCATCCATGACAGTCTTATGATTAGTTTAATCACACTTAGTGGGAAAAAAAAAAGATCCAAATCGAACATTTTAAGTCACCAAGGTGTGCGGGCTTCTAATTTTAAGTGAATGTCCGTGTCCATGGTATGTAACGAATTAGTCTATCCGAACGCTGTCTAGACTAGTAGCAGAGCTACATGACCAAGACCACACTGGACTCTCTATCCATTATTGAGCAGCTTGGGAAGTCGAGCTTCTCGCTGAAAGCCTCCTGAAAGCAGCCCAGTGCCACAGTCCATCTGAAACATTAATTAGGCTCGTCCTGGCCTGGTCCGCCTCCCTCGTACTATATTTTGCCATCATCCGCATCCCCAACCGTAAACAAACACAAAATACTCTTTCCTAAAATGCATTGACACCTCACCTTCTGCTCAGGCTGAGTGTTGCCCTGACCTGTGCAGATATTTAGTCGGGTGAAGTTGTTTAGTACTCAATTTTCATTTCATTTCACAGTATCAGTATTCAATTGATTAATCCAATCGACCTTTATGTTTAGATTTCAAGCACCAAAACTAATTATTATTTAAAGTGTTACTTCATCTGCAGATTATTTTGTTAATTAATCATTTAGTTTATGAAATATCAGACATATCATGAAAAACAGCAACGACAACTTCCCAGGGCCATAGGTGATTAGAAAACATAAATATATTTACTTTACTATCACATATGACAAAGAAACTGAGCAAATCCTATCGTATGTTAAACTTGAAGGACTGATTTAATAATATATTTTGAATAGAATATTTCAATTTAGAATATTTGATGTTTCCAAGCAGTTTTTATTCTTTGTGAAATAAAAAAATCTTCATGTGTGTGTTTTGGGGGTCACAGGTTTTTAGTTTGGATTACAATTGAGATTAAGTTTGACGATGGGTGTGGTCCAGTCAGGGGGGCTGAAGTAAGGGTACAAAGTAGCCCGCTATATTAGGGCACTTTACGGTCTAATAGGATTTTAATGTCACATTATCATCGTAATAATATCAACTCTCACATCTGTTGCATTTTTTTAAAGGAGAAACTGTGTCCTTCCATTTCTTCTTTGTCTTTGAAATGTCGAGTCGACTCTACTCTAGACGTATATGGAAAAGCAATTGCATCACTCCTCAGAGTGGTGCATTTAATTTGATGTAGAGTCTGCACACACACAAACACACACACACACACACACACACACACACACATGTTCACACTATCAACCACGGGCACAGAGAGCCATACATCAATACACGACCCGTTCAGCCAAACAACTGTGAGCAAATGGTATGGGGGAGCATGCTTTACCCAGTCAAGCCGAGACACTGCAGAGTAAATGAACGTGACGCTGCTCTTATGATTCGTCGCCGATGGTCAGCTGAGGCTCAGGGTGTTCCGAGGATTTACACCGATGGAATCTGAGCTAATTGAGCCTGTATAGACTTTCACCGCAGCACTGAAGTGACGTTTGCTTGAGTGCCTCGTCAATTATAAATAGGATTTTAAAAAATAAAGAAAAATAAAAGATGTAACCTCCTAAAACCTAAGGAGCTGTGGAGCAGTTTCTTGCCCGACTGACGTCATTCTGCCCTCCTACCACCGAACTGCGAGCGTTTCCGTTTGGACACTTTGCACTCCTCAGACTTTGGCTAGTATGTTCTCCACGAATTAGCTCGTGTGAAGTTTTAGCAGATCCTCTCCCTCAAACTGATGCTATTGGCCATACTGTGCCATAAGTGTTCTGAATAATTTGTTGTAGCCAAACTCTTACATTGCCTTTATTGAGGCATTTGAGAGACCTCAAATACTCTGTAAGTGCCGGCTGTCCTGACCGGTGCGATATGCATACTTTAAAAGTAGGACAAAAATGAAAAGGAAGAAGAAAGAGTGGGGGGAAAAAGACATGAAGGCATGAAAACTGCATTAGGCGGTGGCAGCCAACATAGAGAGAAGGATTTGAATGATTCAAGAGGCAAAGGGATTAATAATGCAAGACTCCCTCTTTCCCTCTTTTCCAGTGTCCCTCTCGTTCCCCTCCTCTCTCTCTCTCTCTGTCTGTACCCTCTGCTTCCACCCTTTTGTATATTTCTCCTTCATTCTTTCTATCTACTGTATTTGCCCCCTGACGTGTCCTCTTCTGTGGCAAGTCACTGACCTCGCCAGTAGGGGGAGCTCTCCCCATCAAGCCACCGTTTGCTTTCTCCCCCGTCCCCTGTGTCCTCTCCTGCCATGTGCAGGTTTCCGAGTCTGCACCAACTGTGAACTTTTTGGTAGTGGTTGTTGTTTGACGAAGTAAAGATGATCCCGGTTTGTTTTCGATTGGCTCTTCCCACGCCAGTCGTGTATATGTATCCCTGATGTGTCCATTTTGTTCTCGCCCCCAAATCACCCGTGTACCCCCTTTCAGGGCTCTTTCCCCTCTGTACCTCATTACCCTCACCTAAGCCACGGGCAGAAATGACCTGGCCATGGGGGCACGATGACCTAATTTAATTGCAACACTGATGGCCCGTCAGGTGGCTTTTAATTACCTGCTCATGTTTCTCGCTCCCTGTCTGTCTGTCCCTCCCCCGACCCTACAGGACAGAGCTCTAATGGGCAACATAACCAGGCTGTGTGACAACGCGATAGCCCTGGAATCATTCAAAGGCTCCGAGAGAGAGACCAACCCGCTCTACAAAGATTACCATGGTAAGAACGCACACACGCTCGCCACATCTTCCCGTCTCCTTTCCCCTCAAATCCACGCGCGTGCACGCAGGCGGTGCATTAAGGCTGGGCTGTGGATGGAGGCAGGGCAGCCCCCTCGCAGGCTAGGCTGTCAGTGCGCGTTAGTGTGCTGCTGCTCAATCAGACGTGCTCCTCAGTAGACAGGCCGGGGGGGATTCAGCTGCCACGCCGTACCCCCTCTCCCTCGCACCCTCGCCCCCTCTCTCCATCCCTGCCTCCCCTCCTCCAGCTAGAGCCTCTCTCCCTCTCGCCTCGCCCCCCCCTCTCCATCCCCGGTCCCATACCCCTGAGGCTCTGGAGCAGAGTAGACCAACACTGGGGAATCGATATTCTCACCATCACTCCCCCCCCCCCACCCCCCCTTCGCCCGCCCGCCCGCCTCCTCTCCCTGTATCTCTCCTTCCCTCACTCAATGTCTCCATGGCCAGCGTGCTCTGCTAATAAATAGAGGGCACGGCTTTCAGTGGGGGGAAAGAGGACACTGGTGTGGGACGATTTTTGAGAGATGGAAAGTGAAGAAAGGGACGGAGTGCAACATAGTTTGTCTCTGCTCTTTCTCACTTTTTCTTTGCGGTTCTACCGTTCCTTCTCGCTCCCGTTTGCTTCTGTCTTTTTTATTGCACTCTTCGCGTAATAAAGGTCAGTTTAAGCGAGTGGAGTATTTTTAGCCGTGCCTCTCGAACTCTCCGACTCACTCTTGCGCTTTTCCTCTCATCCCCCCCCCGCCCCCCATTTTCTCTCTCTCCCTCCCTCCCATTCTGGAGTGAGACGGCGCCGGTTGTGACAGATGAAGGGATGAGGAATAAAACCATTCAATGGCAGATTTTGGTTTCATCCAACAGCATGTTTTATTTAGATAACACATCCCATCACATTCCTCTGCTTGGTAAAGGCAGGTGGCACATAAACCCGTTCAACAAATGCCTGTTGTAGTGCATCATTTCTCATTTAACAGCACAAAAATGTTCTTTGGAATTTGCAATTAATACTATTTGTATTTCTTGTTAAAGAATATATTTACCATCTGTTTAACCAGCCGGAGAAATTATGGTCTGGTTATGAAATACATTTATGTGCATGATTGTTTTGAAGTGTGTTCATGAGTGCAAACGCATCTGCTGCGAGTGTGAGAGTACGTGCGTATGCGTGTGCGTGCGTGTTTGCGGCAGCAGTTCAGGGCTGCTCAAAGCATGCTGGGAAGCCTGTCACTGCAAATCAGGCAAGGGGAAATCACCCAAGTGCACAGAGGAGAGAGCCCACCATCCCCCACTTTCTCTGTCTGTCTCCCTTTCTCCATTACTCCCTCCATCTCTTCTTCTCTCTCTCACGCTCGTTTAGCCAGATCCACTTCTACAGTACTTTCCAAATGAAAATGTAACTTTATTTTGAAATAAGATGGTAAAATAATAGGGGAAAAACGGGGAAATGAATACTCTGCGTCCCTCTATCCTTTGCAGGAGTCGGCATGTCGGCTGTTTACTCCTCGTTGCTCTAATGTGTGCTTTAATTGTCACATTTCCTGTACAGTACAGCCATGATCCGGCCTGTAGGCAGAAAGTATGAGAGTAGAAATGGTTCCATTGGAATATTTATCTGATAACTTTTGTGGGTTTTTTGTGTGGTTTTGTCTTTCATTATCCGTTAAAGATAATTAAAGATTAAAGATTGTTGTAAGATCTTTTTTTGGTCGGCAAAGTTAATTTACTGTGACTATGATGCAGCTGTAGATGTCTGAAAACCGTGTTTATCAACGACTGTCCTTCTACATTCAATCAATTCACTCAAGTAGACAGAAGCATTTCACCACAAATCAAATAAGGAGAAAAAAAAGTACCATTGATTTTGCGACACGGTTTCAAAGGTTTTTTTTTGTCAGCAGGTGGACTTCGGAAAACACAATTGTAAGACGCTGACTGTCATGTTTTGTTTGGATGAAAACTTAATATAACCCCAAAGTCTCAAAAGTTTTTCAAATGTAAAAATATATTTTTAGCAGTTGTCATATTAAATAGAAATTGCCTGTCATCTGTAAAATAATAGGTAAATCCTCCATTTATGAAATCTGCATAAGAAAACTACCCTGGTTCTTTGTTTATGACACTTTTACACTTTAAAAATGTAGCACACAACTTTTGTCCAATGTAGTTTTTATGTTACAGTAACGTAAGACATTTCCATTGTGGATATGCACACTAGAATATCTTATACTGCAGTTCTTTAGGTAGTTCTAATGTCCCGTCACTGTTTCACAGGTCTGCTGCATGTACGCCAAGTACCCCATCTGAACTGTCTGGCGAGTAAACTTCCCGACCACAAGGACCTGGCCTTTAAGCTCAAGAGAAAACAGTTCACCATTGAGGTAAGATGTCATGGTAACTCCACATAGCCAGAGCACTTTTATAAACAAAGCATACTGTTAAGGATTCTGTCAATACATTTTTTTGCTTTATTTTGTAAAATGTGTTGCCATTTAATCATTAACCTAAGTAATTATTAATTGAAAAAGCCATTACATTTGTTTCCATTCATCATGTTTATGGCAGAACTGATATTGAAATTATGATAACGAGAAGCTTCTCCCGTTAGTTATGCCAGCCTGTTTCTACCATCGGGTGTCAAAAATCAAAGGTGAAGCTATTGACTGTTGCTGCCACACCTACTCTAGAGTGAGAAAAATCTCTCCAAACTCACCAATATGCAACAAATAAAAAGTACTGGAGGCGTTTTAAGTTAAAGGTATATTTCACATATATTTAAACTCAAGGACTATGAAGGAATCATACATCACCCAAGTCATCCATGACCTACAAAAAAAAGCGAAACTAACGAAGGCCTCTATGCCACAAAAGCTCTCATGGTAAGATGTGTAGTTTAGGTGCTGCTTTCTTTGTTAGAACTACTTTACTCCCCAAATTTACAATCTACACAGACATTTTAGACAGTCACATAAACAAAGTCTTTCAGTCAACAATTCAAACGATGTGCGTTGCCCTCGCACATTGTTTTTAAATATATCTCAGGCCTGAGATGGTTTCTCATGTCGCGCCATTTCCCGATTTCCACACAGTTCAATCTGGGTCGCTCAGCACTTCGCATGTGCTGCACGAATCCCTGTTGGTGTGAAATGTCCATTTTTGGTGGCTCTGTTTGCTCTGCCGGCGTGGAGTACAAGGGCTTGAACGCCTTTCCGTTTCCTCATTAATTTTGATCTATGACTTCTTATCCTCTTTCTCTTCCCGTGTGAGAGACGGATCCATTTTGCCCGTCTCCCATCATCGGTCTTCAGAGCAATCAGCGTGTCACTGAACTACCACTCACCAGACAAATTAAAGGGCCCTCCTCTTAGCTCAGGCTCATGATTGGTCCTCATTACATTATCATTACCTTATCACACCCTCCGGTCTTTGGCTATTAGTGAGTCCTATTGTCTCAGGCAGGAGGTGAGGGGGAGGAGAGGAATGCCCGACCACCCCTTTCCCCTCACCCCCAAAACAGCCTCTCTGCATTCTACAGTCGACCCCACTCTTTCTCTGCCATCCTGCTAACCGTTTCTCCTGTCTGATTTGCCCCCCCCTCCTTTCTCTGACCCTGTGAATAGGCCACTCTAGTATAGATTTATATGTAGAAGTCAAGGTGGCTATCCTCAGTGGTCTTTTAATTAGGCCACTGTATCGGGCCAGGGGGCAGAAGCCCTTGAGACTGCGTCCTCCATCCCAGCAGCACATTGTAAACTCCACGCTTTGTCCGCCTTCCTTGTTTAAGGAACTTTATCGGAGGGTTTGTTCATGAGCGGTATCCGTAATATTGCCCTCATACACACAGAGTTAAAAGAAGGCGCAACATTTTCAAACGGCTGCAACTGTTGACTCAAGAATGAATCTAATATGAAATGTCAATCACAATCCTTTGCCATCGCACATTTCTATGGGTCAGGGAAATTCCCAGAGAGCTTTGTACCAGATCACTAGTCATGCATCTAATCACTCAAAACACACATTGTAACCCACTTGCTCTTTGGGACTTTACGGGCTGTCATTCATCTTCACATTGCCTCAGCTAGAGATGTCACAAAGGTATGAACGCCGGTTGGCTCGGCGTCCCTCGTTGCAGAGGTCGGTGCATATAAATGTAGCTGTGTATCTCCCTGCATGCAGGGCTTGTGCTGTGCTCTATACGGCTCATCATATACTTTGTTTGACCTGTTGGTCGACTGGCTCTGTGGGCCGCTGATTGACACACAGGAATGGTGATTGGGTTCTAAGCCCCGTCTCTTGAAGTGTGACAGCTCACACCATCCCTGCTAATCACCTCATTTACTCAAGCTACAGGACTCCTCTGCCCGAGGCAACATATTACAGCATTCTCCTGCCGAGTTCTGTGCTCTCAGTCCGTTTGCTTCCACACATCTATCATGATATTGATAGATCACTCCGCCCCCCGCGATACATTCCTTTCAACTTTTGAGTATTTTGAAGGCAACCGAATTCAGCCTCATCATGTGTTTTTATCTGTTTGGATTAGTACGTGATACGGTGGTGGTGAAAGACAGGTTATTGACAGCGCCAGCTTTTCATCCGTTTGCTCAGGCAGATACATGTCACCCACGGAGTCGTGCTGGTAACTAATTTTACTGTCGGTTGACTCACACGTCAGTCATATCATTCATTGCACGGAACGGCAGCGCTCAGGAAACAGGGTTTGAACTAGAAAGGGTTCGTGTTCAGTTGGAATACATTATTTATCGTTCCCAATTTGTTAGGTTTTACTAATTAATCTGCAGCCCGGCACTCATCGCTACCATCAACAAAGTTCTCTCGGTACCTCGATAAGGTTACCGTGAAAAGCGGTCGACGCTTCCACGAGGTCAAACTGCGGCTGATGAGTAGTTATTAGCCATGACGCCTGAAGCCAGAATTAACCCACGGCCCTGTCTGAGCAGGTCGGGGAGTGTTAGGTGTTTAGACCAGATTAACACATACTCAAACATTGCCCAGCTCCACACGCATATTTACATTCACGCAACGACACTAGCACATACTTATTGAGAAACGCATGCAGGGGAGCTGACACGCAATGTGTGCGAGAACCTTTCTCACTTACTCATAAACAAGACGTCACGGGCTTCTTTCACTACTTTCACAATGCAAGATGCTTTGAGGATGAAGCTCTGAAGAATGCATACGGTACGCAATTACATTCCGCTTACCTTTGTGTGACCCCGTAGACTGACAGGTTGTGTGCCTGTGGGGTTCTGGGGTGCCAGAGGCAGGTCACCGGGTCAAATACAGTATAAGATGGGGATTTGTGTCAAATTAGTCTTCTACTAGACGGGCCATTGGGAGGTGTCCCTGACCGGCTCTGTCACTTGGATGGCAATAGGCTGTGTGCAAGTATTTGCTGCAAGCTTTGTAGTCTTGGGAACTTTTGAGTGTTATGTTAATGTTTTCTTTTGCTTTTTAATGTTGTTATTTTGAAGTTATCGTTGTTGAGAGTCAGTATAAGAAGGATGGGAGTGAGGAACATGACCAAATGGTGAATGTCCTGAGCCCGATTCATACGGAAAACCGCGTTGTGGCTTGTGTCACCATCATTTTTGTAGATTCTTGAGTTTTTAGGATTTCACCGTTTTTTTTTTTTGGAAAGTCAAAAAACTTTTGATAAAACTGTCTTCATAGCCTGAACAATGTATTTATTCTGTTAACCTGGATATCGGTGCAATAAAAGACAAAAAATCACAGTATTAGTTTTATGCATCTAATAGGACTTGAAGCTCATCTTCTACTCGTATTGGACTTCATCAATTTTACGTAGTCATCTCATTACTACCTTAAACAACAGCCACAGGTCAGTTTGAATGCAGGCTTTGGTCTAAACACCCCGACCAGCTAACAAAGGCCGATGCCTACCCGTTGAGTAAGTACACGGATATGGTGCACTATACTTTTACCTTTTCAGAAGACCAACTCTACGGTCATACAAACATCTCGGATAATCCAATCACCCCTCCATACCACATAAGGTGAACTTGGCATTGATTGAGGGTAGTTTTAAGCTGAGTGGAAGCAGAAAAGGGCGATGAAGAGAACGATGGTGCCGAGTACGAGACGACTTAAAGAGAAGAGGAGGCCAAACCGAAAGAGTCCGAGGGAGGTGTATAGAGTAGGTTAATGTTTCTTGGCATGTCCTTAAAACGTCTTTTAAGACAACGCCTGTGTCTGCTCCCCGTTGAAGCCTGTGGGTGCCGAGGGAAGGGTGTTAATGGACCTATGTGAGGAACAGAGCGGAGGCTTGGTAGAGGAGGGGGGAGGCATAAACGGAGAGGAGCAGTTAAGTGATTCTCGGGTCAGGTCTAATTAAAATGAGGGCTTTTCCTCAGAGGCAACAAACCGTCGTATTGAGAGAGAAATAAAAAGGGAGGAAAGGAAAGAATTGTAAAATGCAAAATGAGTTCGACAGAGAGCCAGTCCTCAGGGCGTGTTTGTGTATTTGCTTATGTGTTTGTTTGTGGTCCGTGCCTGGTTGTATATCTGCTTCCCTAAGTCATAAACAATGCTCGGTACTAAAGATCAGAGAAAGGCCAATGTTGAAAAGGACTCATATGGAGAAAAAACTGTGAAAAACTGAACTGGGTCATATAATATTTACCTCCTTTAGTGAATCACAACGACTATTTGCAGACTGAGTAAACTAAATACAAACAATAGGCTGATTGGATGTCCTGAACCTATTAGTGGAATGAACAAAAACCTCTGCCAGTAATTTGTATGTCCGTCCTGGTGAATTGGCATCAAATGGGGATGGACCTTTTGGAATAATATTTGAATTGAATTATTTATGCTTCCTCCCTTGGTGCATACCAGCCTGTGTCGCAGCTTGGAATGAGGTGTGCTTATGATTTGTGTGTGTGTAGGAGAAAGGGAGAGACGGAGAGCCCGGCGAAGGCCAGTGAGTGGCACGCGATCCCACCCCTCAGACGAACAATATTCACAACACACACCAGATTTGCATTTATTATTTAACGGGAATTTTATCTATTCTGCAAGTGTGCACGCATTTTTGAAAAGGCCTTGCGTGTAGGGTCTCTGGGCTGAGTCTTGGCTGTGTGTACGGTGGGGAAGTATGGATGTTTTTGTTTGTTTGGCTGTTGTGGTACCTGCTGCGATGGCGTGTGACCTTGATCTTTATATGAATATTGATCTTCGGGGGATCTGTTTTGGTTGTTTTTTTTAAACCAAAACTACCTCACTAATTCCAAATCAGTAAAAGGTTCCACACAGTATTATAGCTGGAAATGTCAATTTGGCAGTGGCAAAGGGACTCTAATGTTCAGAGGATGTGCTTGTCTTGACACGGTGAGGG